ATAAAGTTGGATTATTATATCGTTCTGCCAAGAATAAATCACGATTATACAAACCCATATCAATCCATAATTTTAATATATTATTGAAAGGTCTACGGAATCTTATGGCTGCATAATTCTAGTCCTCTTTCCGCGACCACACACTGAGTGCATTTAGGTGCGCCCTATGAGTTTTGTATGGACCGGCAGAACTCAAAATGTAGGAATACTTTTTCGACAGGGGCAATAGCCTCTGGTGATACACTGCGGTACGAAATATAAAATCTTAATGAGAAAAATAAAAAAAATTGTTAAAACATAATCTTAACGTAAACGTTAAAACTCGAAGAAATAAAAATAAACCAAGTTACATTAACTAATACATTTATTTTTCTACATAAATTACCAAGTTTCTTCGATTAAGAACTCTTGTACTGATTTATTATACCTTGGTGGTAAAAGTTCCTTTAATTCATTCCTTGTAAGCCAGTTGAAATTCTTTTCCTTGCCGTCTACAGCACCACCTTGATAATTAGCATAGTAAAAGAAAACCTGTAATGTAAATGATAATTATTTTTTCAATCAAACATAAAACATTAAATTTAATGTCCTAGTTCATCCATTCTCATCTCTGCAATGGAATGACAACATTGAACTTAATTTTGCACATGGCAATACTGATTCAAAAGTGCAAAATTTTGCACATGGCAATACTAATTCAATAGTGCACAACTTTATACAAGGCAACACTGATTCAACAGTGTTAAAGCACAAATGATCAAACTTTACATATTTTTGATTGTGTGTAGTCTATATGCAGAATTGTTTCTTATTTATACCACTTAGCCAATGCTAACCGCTGCAGCTGCTGCCATAGACAAGGAATAATAAGTTAAAGCATTCAACTTACTTTGGCACCAATACTGTTATCTGTTTGTGAACTTTGTGGATACTTATATTTGTAAAAGCCACACGGAGCATTTGAGAGGAATTGCACTTTAAGATCTTTCCCGCAGTATTCTTCTAAAACTCTTTCAGCCGTCTAAAAAAATAAATTCTATCATATTATCTTAGTAATATTATAAATGTGAATGTTTGAATATATGAATCAATGTTTGTTAGAAGGTATCTGCAAAGCTGAAGGGATCTCAAAGTAATTTGACATAGATGTAGAATAAAGTTTGGAAACATTTTGAGAACTAATTAAGATTTTTTAACTTGTGTGGACGCAGTAGCGGGCAATACCTAGTTAATGAAAAAAAAGTTGCTGCACAGGCATAAATCATCATATAAAAAAATATTATAATTCATCTGAAGTCTATTTTGTTGAAGTAAGAACATTCCCTAAATCAAAATAATTTCACAGTCTACATAATAGATCTTGTTCTTGATTTTGGTGAATAGTTTTTTTGCATTGTATTGTGTAACTGACCTGTTTTAATGTTTCTCCCTCTTGCCATTTCCCCTGGGGGAGTATTGTTCTTACATCAGTTCCCAATTTAACTGGTGCAACCAACACCAGGTGTCTCTGTAGACATCTGTCAGGGTTTGTCTTGTCACCTTTCTTGTCTGCTTCTATAAACAATATTAAGATATAAAGTAGAAACACTGTATTCAATTAATAAAATTGGAGTGTATGTATGTAATATAAAAAACACAAATTTTGTGCACACAATGTATTTCTGTGACTTAAAATGTAAAACCATTTTTTTTAATTTTTCGTCTCTAAAACTACTGAAGCAATTTTGATGGGACTTTTACTGGAAGGTACCTTTAGTGTGGTAACTTAGGCTATTTAAGTTCTGTGCTGAAAAAGCCACATGCAAGTGCAGTATTAATATTGAAAACAATCATCTACAAGTTGTTGTTCATTATAATGGTAGATAAAATAATGTGTATGTTTGTTTACCTGTTTCAATACTTCCAAATTTGAATTGTGATAATTCCTCAGTTGCCGCATCTTCCATATCTTGAGCTGTTATTTTGCTAACAGCATCTATATCCACATCATGAGTGTCACTCTTAAGAAGTTCAGCTTGGATTCTATAGAGAAAAAATATTTTATAACAAAAGTAATGTCTTCGAAATCAAATTAACAAAAGCGGTTCAAATACATTGAAGCAGTATTTAGTGCAAATTTAGAAGTACTTACTTATCGTTTTCATGCCTTATCTCGTGATCTGACTTTAAACTTTTTTCAACTTCTATGGTCCATAATAATTCTTTATACTTTTTTTGTATGTCGTTCAGTGGTGGTGTTACGACAGGTAACCTTTCAACGCATACCCCTGTTATAATGTCCCACTGCGGCTTCGTAGTCAAACCTTTAAAATATTAGCACATATAACTGATGCCGTATTCTAAATTAAGATTAGGGATAAAAGTTTGAATTTCAATAATAACCTTTACTCAAAACTCGTAAACACAGTTTAATTTCTGGTCGAATTAACCGCTTAAATATCATTTTCGTATCTTACAGCCTAGGTTTTGCTAAATTAGTTAAACTTAAATAAACGTATAATTGTAGATATTCTAAGCGAAGTTCATACTAATATTTTATAAAATAAATTAAACACAACACAGAAAACCTAACCTTAATGCAATCTTGACATTGACACATTATGTCAACGTCAAAAATTATGCCGTCAAAATTTTTATGATTCTGGTGCATGTACAATAACTTAACATTTTTCAGATATTTAATTCTCTCTTTCTGATAGTTAATCGAGTACAGATAATTTGTTTTTTGTAAAAATTGTGTGCTACAACAAAAATAGTCATAGTTTTCTTTTTAACAAACACGAAAATATGTTTTTGAATGATTTTTAGTAGTGGATATTCGCTGTTAAAATCTGTAAAAAAATATGTTATTAAAGTATTGGACCATTTATCAGTTCTTTATTAACCACAAAAATCAATTCTATATTCTACCTTTTTAGCCTTGCCCTACCGATAACCGACAACACTAGATAACAGCTTTTGCAAGTTGGCAACCCTAAAATTCTTTTCCGGCTCTCTGTGTCACTGAAAGTAAGCAGAGTTTCTGTTTTTAGTGATAAAATCTATATTAATCCTATTAACTTCTTGTGGTTTCAGTGAAATATTTTTGAGAGCAGTGTATATTGTTCTGCTTTTAATGTTTCCCCAAATATTTTACCAAAAATAGACGTAAAACATATACATTTAATTGTCAAACCGTCGTATAGGTTATGTTCATAAATATATCTTATTTTAGGCCACAACATGAAGCAAATAGTTGCTAACCAAAAGGTGAAGATCCCTGAGGGGCTCACAGTTCATGTGAAGTCTCGACTGGTGACAGTGAAAGGACCCCGAGGTACCCTTAAAAGAAATTTTAAACACTTGGCTGTTGACATTCGCATGGTAAACTCTCGATTACTGAAGGTGGAGAAATGGTTCGGATCGAAAAAAGAACTGGCTGCGGTGAGAACCGTCTGCTCTCATGTGGAGAACATGATCAAAGGTAAAAATATATTTGTTTTGGTTCTATAAACATATCAGGTTGGGATGTGATATGTGGTTTCTTTTTATCTGAGCATTTTATTATAGGGTTTATTAGACTTAATACATTATTAATGCAACTATCTGTCTTAAATACACTGTAAACATTTAATGTACAAATGTTAAAAACTAAAATGTTAGAACAGTTTACTTTACTATTGCCCTTAATATAGTAGAAACATGAATAATGATCATTAAATTAAAAGAAACTGAACTAATGTCATGAATAGGGGTGGGTAATGTGTTTATCAATTATTAATGTTTTTGTCTAATATTTGGTTAAGCATAAATTTACTAAAGATATAAGAATGGTAATGTTCTGATAAAATGAAAACATAATTTAAAATAATACTTGAACTTTATTTAATTAATTTCAACTATGATTTAATCTTTAATTAAAACATTATCTACATTAACATAATTTGGATGCTTAAATATTCTTTGAAGCACATTTAGTGTGACTTATGTTATAAAGTAAACTCACAAGTTATTTCATTTAAAATAGTAAAAAACAATTTTGAAACAGTGTCCGATCTGGGAAGATGTCTATCTAAAACCAGATGTAAATAGATTTTTAGTATATGCATTTAATAGGTTTATTTTTTTTATTTGTGGTACATAAATGAGTTAGCAATGTTTTAATATATTCCCATTCATAGGAATTTAATTTATTTATTTCAATCTCAGCTTATACCGGTTTTATATGTGAGCATAATTTTTTTAATTTCAGGTGTAACAAAGGGATTCCAATACAAAATGCGTGCAGTATATGCTCACTTCCCCATTAACTGTGTGACCACTGAGGGCAACACGTTGATTGAGATCCGTAACTTCCTCGGAGAGAAGTACATTAGGAGGGTAAGGATGGCACCAGGTGTGACAGTTGTCAACTCTCCCAAACAAAAGGATGAGCTGATTATTGAAGGTAACTCCATTGAAGATGTTTCCAGCTCAGCAGCCCTCATTCAACAGTCCACCATGGTCAAAAATAAAGACATCAGAAAGTTCTTGGATGGTTTATATGTATCTGAGAAGACTACTGTTGTAGCAGACGAGATTTAAGTTCATTAAAAAACCAACTTGAAACCTCTTTGTTTGATTTTTTATATTTTCCTTATATATATATTATGGCTTTATCAAAGTTAACCAAAATAAAACAAATATTTTTAAATTTCTATAACAGTTAACGATTACAGATTTGTACTTGATGTGATCAAAATAGTTTGTTATAAATTTAGTAACTGCAAATCTGTAGATCCAGTAGGAAAGTATGTATTCTTCTATCATGTCCAAATGTAATCAAACATTTCAATCGGCTATATAGACATTCAAACAATTTGGAAGTAAGGTTGATAACACTGCCATCTATTGTACAATTATTGACAGTAACAGGTTACATCCCTGCAGTAGTCATTCGCAAGGAAATAAAACTAAATGATATTTAATATAAAATTATTTTTATAGATAAATATTAAATACAATAATTAAGAAACCACACCTTTACTTTCTATCTTCAAATAGGTTTCACTTATAAATGCAATATAAATTTATTTAGTACTGGCAACAAATTAAAATTGCACTCTAGTACATTTTCACTATTCTTTATATTTTTTTCAACCAATAAACTGAGATTAGGGTTGTGATAGCTCTGGATTTGGGATTTCTAATTTAATTATCTTTGGCTGTTTGTTCAGCTTCAAGACGTTTCTTCATGGATTCAGGCATCTCGGCTGGTGGTGGTCGTGGTGTTCTTAAAACAACCTATAAAAATAACACAACTATTAAGTGTTGTTTATAAAATTATGAACCCATAAATTGAAATAAGGTAATATGGATGTAAATGCTAAGATTGTAAGGTACAAGTCCAATAGCTCTACACTGTTGTATTCACTGACCTCTGTTAAATAGCTTTGGTATGGTATTTTGAGCTTATTTGATTTTCGCCATTTTGGTGCTGATGATAGCGATGGTAAGGATTCAAACTTCGGAAATATCAAATGGCAGGTTCGTGTCAAAAGCAAAACCTATCATTTTTAAGCAATGACCTATCCATCTATAGAGATCAGTGGTTACATTGTACAAACCTTGGCGCCATCGAAGATGAACCATTGCAGCGCGGTAAGTGTACCAATCATGACAATCCTGGTGCCGAGTCCCTTCCAGACACCAGCCCAGCCCAGCTTGCCCACGATTGAACCCACTGTCGCCGACTTATCCTAAACACACACGTAAAATCAGTATTTATTTCAACTTTCTTGTTTCATACAATAAATATATTAAACATGGCATAGCTGTAGTTCTCAAATAAACTACATATTTCAAATATTGTCTAATTTTGTGGACTTTTCGAAAACATCATACCCTCTTTTGACGATCGTTTGAAACACTAGATTTGATTGAGCAAAACTGCTCAATAGTGATGAACAATGAGCTTCTAGTAGCCTAATTATGTATGACGGAATAATTATGACCTTCTGTAGTCTAAACCTTGGCCGATTTCAAAGATTTAGGTAAGACAGTAGATGGTACAACAGAGGTAAAGTGCATGTATACCTGGTTGAGTTTGGAGACGACGGTGTCGGCGGGGTGGGAGACGATGGCGCAGAAGACGCCGGCGACGCAACCCGCCGCAAACGTTACCACCAGCTGCTCGCCCTTCGTGCACTGGTCGCGCGGCTTCGGCACTACGTACTGCAACACATAAAAAACGCTAAAATTATTACATACTTATAATCATAATATATTTCCGATGATTTTGGACGAGATCTAAGTCCTTACCTCGATAGAAACCAAAAATATTGGTTTTCCTTAGTTCCGACTCAAAGGACCATTTTTTAACAAAAGAAGTAAGCAGCGCTGTTTTCGCTTGTTATGTGCAGAATCACAGTAAAATAAAACAGCCTTGGTCAGTTCACAATGGAGAAATGTATTTAAAGCACAGAACAGGAAAGAATTGAAAGAATGATATAGAAAAAAATGCTGAAGATGAAATAATACCGCCATGTCTATGAATGAAAATAAATAAAGCACAGGATGCACTAACAACATACCTTATAGAACATTTCCAGTGTTCTTTCAAAGCAGGCGAACTTGATCATTGTGTAGGGAATCTGTCGACCCCACAACGGCACCAGACCCTTGTAGAATGTGCCGTAGCCCTCGTTCTGCACCATCTTGGGCCACGCCTCGCGCATAGTGTTGGCGAAACCAGGCATAGTTTGGATGCGGACCTATATACAAAAATTAAAACTTGTAAAAAAAAACAATCCCCATATAACTCAGAAAAATGAATTCTTCTTCGTGGTCATCAGTTATCGGTGACCTGCCGAGGCGCCGCCACTCCACCCTAGTCGCTACCTTTTTAGATGAATACGCCAAGAGTAAAAATGGTGGTCAATAACTAGATGTTTTACCTTAACAGCTTCGAATGGCGAGAGGGCGATGTCGGCGAAGACCTCAGCGGAAGCGGAGGCAGCGAGATAGACGAAGGTTCGGTACACGTAGGCTGTCTCCGCGTCCAGCATGTCCGAGTAGCCCACTTTGAACACCTCGTACAGACCGAATTTGAACAGACCCTGTAGAAGAATAACACATTGTAGTGAAAATCATAAGAACTTTATTAAGAGCAGGTCTCAATAATCGATTCCTCGAGATCGCCAACTAACCAATACATTAAGCTTTTCCACTGTAATTGTTTTCATAGATTTTATTCGATTTCTTTTTTTGTTTTATCTGTGTCATAAAATAAATTCAATAAATATCCACCTGGTGATTTCGGCTGACCCAGTTTAACGGTACTGTAAAAAATATCACCATCGTACCTGTAGCGAGTACCCAATGAGTGTTGGAGCCCAGCCCTTGGCGAGACCCCTCACACCCTCCTCGCGCACGGACAGCCTGAAGCCGTTCATCACATTCTTGTACTTGTCGGGGTCCACCTGCAACCGGCACTTCACCAGATCCAAGGGCACCACGGCCGTGTGGGTTAAACCTGATTAAAACATGTAGTTGATTATTTATTGATTTGTGCGGAAGACAGTATACTGTGGAAGGCTTAAGATCTACGTCCAGCAGTGGAGTTATATGCTTGGTCCATGACCATTTTATTGTTGAGTTAATAAGGTTTAAATGTGATTTGGTGTCTTTGGATCATTCATAATAGGTTTTTTAGTTTAATTTTTTTTTATCTTATGGCTTTGAAATTGAATGTTGTAAACCTTAAATTTCACTTAAGATATTCTTTTTCATAAATAAAATACTATTAGCGTGTAGCCTTGTTTGTGTTAATCAGGTTTGAGTGAGCGATAAATGTTAAGGATAATGTCAAGTTCATGTCCGACTCTCATAGCGCTTGCTCTGATTGAACATATGTCAGATAACATGATATATCAATATTTCAAGAAGCATCAAAAAACATCCTGTATAGTAAGAAACTTACCGCATGACAGCAGACCGCCGACACCGCACAGCGCAAAGTACTTGGCAGAGCCGAACTCGCATGAGTACGTTTGCTCCGGCGCCGACGACGCAGCTATTGTCTGGATGGGCTGGAACAGACAAGAACAACTATTGTTAAACAGGTATTCGTAATTAAATTGTGGCAATCAATAGAGACATTAAACTCAAAAACATTATCAATGCGGCTGTAGAAAAAGTTTCTTCGTATCGCAACTCCCACATACAATAATAGGGTTGTGAGAGTTGGTAGTCACGTATTGGCAACTGAGAATACGAGAACAAAAATAGAGAAATCATAGCTAACCTGTACATTAGACTCTGTGAGTGCGGGTGCGGGCTCGTTGGTTTCGCACAAGGCGGGTGTCAGAGGCCCGTGGAACGGGGACTTACGCGCTACCTCCAGAAGTGACGCAAACATTTTATCTAAACAAATACGCAGCCTAAATATATTGTCTGTATCCCACGAGACTACAGATCATACGACATATTTCTCTGTACAGCTTGTGACATAACCTTTGCAGTAAATTGATCTGAATTATATCAAACGGGTGTGAACCAGTATTTGCAAGTCACATACTTAGACGGTCATTATCTGTTTAAAAAACACAGACAGTTGTGTTTGATGAATTTATAATCTTTGTCCGCTCATACAACCCCAATGGGGGCTCAGAGCCTAAACAAATTATGAATGACTAGGCCATAGGCAAACACGCTGGCCAAGAGTGGGTCGGTTTTCACAATTATATTTGAATTTTGATAATCACACGTCGCTACATGGCGAGGATCGAACCTGGACGTGTAGATTTCGGTCCACTCCAGTCAAGCGCTAACAGCGCCACCGACGTTCGTTTTTTTTTACAATATTTCACATCTTTAGTAATTTTTTGAGTATTAGATGTCAGTTTAAAGACGATGTATGAAAAATGCCATTACCTGGAAATATTTAAGAACCCTGCACTTAACTCTCACTGTTACTATATACAATATGATCAGCTGAGTGAATATCTAATTCAATTATCCATGTCGCAAATCTAGATCGTTTCGTAATTGAGTTACGCACATATTGATTTTTTAAAGCGCTCTACCTCTATTCTAAGTGTGGGTTTGATTCCTAAATTTCAACTGAGCTAATTGTTTGCACAGTCCTATATTATACTATCTGTTAGCCGATTCTCAGGCCTACTGGACATATTTTTCATAAAAATCGCTCAAGCAGTTTCGGAGGAGTAGGTATGGTAACTAGCATTATAACACGAGAATTTTATATGTAAGATAAATCAATCAGTAGTATTCGTTTGTAAATTAAAGAGTTCTGGACATTTCAAGCTGTAATTTTGGAATGGCTCAATATCTCGACAATTAGACGTTAAATATAATTTTCAGAAAAAAATAAATTAAATCTTTTATTTGGTCGCGTAACAATTATGACGGCCACGTGTAATTGCTCCTGACCCAGTAACCTTGTAAATTACCGGTATTATTAAGTTTCCTATTATAGATACAGTATAGACGAAACGAAGTACTGAGTCGATGTATAACACAATGTTAACGTATCAATTGTAGCCGAAATAATAGTCCTTTATTATTATTACGTAATAAAGAGAAATAACACATACCTTGCCTTAAATCGAAATCAACAATTCGGCAGTCCGCACCGCACTGACAAATAATCTTTCATTATCTTGATAATCGGCCGATATCTTTAATTCCATTCGTCTACACGTAAATCCAGATATCAAAATTTATATAATCACGTGAAAATTTAATTTCATAATACTTTTATCTAATTCTGGCAACATTCTGAAATTATAAATAATTATTATAACAGTACAAAAAAATAAAGAAAATCACATTTTTAATTTTATTTGTATCATTTGAAGATGGAAAGTAAACCTAAAAAAAAATTAAAGCATAGAAATTAAATAAATACATTTGTTTTTTTGATCAAAATCCTAGAACATTCAGGTAAGAGTTCTCTTTACCGTTAGTTTAATACAAAAGGAAAATATTATAAATAACAACACCAAGTAGAATTTTCAACGTAAATAATTTTATTCAAACTATTCTATTGAACATCACTAACTGATAAACATTGTACATCTGCAAATATGGGATTTCTCGATAAAATGTTAAAACACTAAATTGTTAAAAAGTCATCATTAAATTTTATTAATTTACACAATGCATAACAATTAATCCAATACAATATCTTCTTAATAATATAAAATAAATAGCTATTAAAACAAAAAAAAATCATTTTCACAATTATGTTATTAAATCAGGACGAATATTAACTTAATGCATAAATTAAAATAATAAATGTTTTTGCATTACGTGCACCCACTGACTAAAGAGACGGGTACACTAAAGAATAAAACTGTCCTGTCACTAAAATACTGAGGAATTAAAAAAATAAAATATTATTTACATGCAGTTGTAAAACAAAGACTACGACCAACTAAACATTGTTGGGGAGTTAAAACATTCATATTAAGTACATTTATAACTGAGTTTGCAACACATGCCGCCAATGTACAGTCAGCGTCAAAACTACTTTATCTAATAATAAAAAAATATTTTAAATTTTAATAATAGCATATTACAATTAAAATAATAATTAATCTCGCCGCAAAAAGTGTCATCTCTTAATATTGTGTGCAAGTTTAATTTAAATTAAAATTTTCAAATTTTTGCTGCTGACTGTACCACGGAAGAACTTTGGTAATGTCTTGATAAGGTTCCTTATTTGCCAATAAGGATGTATCAAATTTAACAAATAAACATGGTCAGTCGTAATACTTTGTCGAATGTCTATATGTCATGACAGTAACATACAAATATGCAAATGCTCTTGCGAACTGTTAAGTACAGGTTGGTACTACCGTAGAATCCCACTGCATATACAATCTTGCTATCTCTTTCATTCCATTTGACAACCCGAGACAACAATATGTATTAGGCGTTTGTGTAGATTTTCGTGCAGTTGCGGCCATATTTGCAGATGGGCATCCCATTTTAAATTGCATATATGAAAATAAAATTCTCAATAATAAATTAATGTCAAACACTATAAAGGTGGTGACACACCGTAACACAACTGCTTAGTAACCAACAAACGAGTTCGCAGGTCGCCGTGTGACAGCGGTACATTCGCCGAATGTCGATGAGATTCAATGACTTCTAAACAGATTGCCGCTTGAGCAAATAATTGTGATTACATTATAATACGTCTTAGCCTAGCCATGCGGGAGTCGCGTGAGGTGGGCTCAACTAAACGGCACAGTCGCTCCCACTGACCTATCTACACTGGAATGTACGGGAGACGATCATTTCCAAGTAGATATATTTAAATGTATTATATTTTATTTTTAATATATTTTCGCTTTCACACGAGTTCGCAATGTAACGTATAAACGTAGGGTGCGTTTCCACTGCATTTAGAACAAAATGTGGTAAGGAAAGGCAGTGTAGAGACGTCACTGGCCGCGACTGTACCCGTAGTAAACAACTAATACAGCTAGTTTGTAACATTCAACATTGTCAGTGCACCGTGAATTCGACGCAAACACTTTTACGTGTACATAAGTAATATTAATAGTAATTTCTTAGCGCTCAATAATTTCGAGCGATCCGATTAAAAATAACATGAATATTTTTTTTAATTTAATTTATATAATATACAATTTACATAGTTAATACAAGCATAATTTGCTTAATAATGTCAATAAATAAAATTGTATAGTCAACAATGCATCACCCTCTAGGATGTTAGAATTTGCACGACGAACAAAAAGCATTATTAGTCTACAGTGAAAGCCGTTAGGATCAACGCACGAGTGAAAATTTACATTATAATAAGAAAATTGAAAACGTACTTATCCTAAACATGTCCCCGGGGACGTAAAGTGACAATGATAAACGCAGTCGGCCTATCACAACCGCCGCAGCGCATATTGCTTCTCATGTCGCGAGACACATCTCTCCACAAGTTTACATTGTCAACACTCGTACGAAAACATATTTTACATTCTCTTTGAACACATACACTAATAATATGTTTTTGCTCAGGTATTGACAATGGAAACTTATGGTTAAACAAGTCGTTCACTATAAAGTATCATATGATTATATTCGTTCTTTTACATCACATTTCAATATTATATCAATTTATATCAACAATAACAGTTTACTAGCCTTTTTTCTCCATGTCATACCTAATTTTCAAATGGAGGTAAAATTTTACGTAAAATTGAATTATATTGGGTTAGTTTAACTACTGTCGAATTATTAAAATTGCATCAACTACATATTACTGATATGAAATAAGTAAATTTCATACAATTATTAGTTGTTTTCATATGATACTTTATGCTAACAAAAGTATTGCTTCATTTATCTTGCTCAATAGAGCGTCGTCAAGGACAATATTATAGGAGATTCTGCTACGCTGGAACACCACATTTTAACTACGCTCACATAGAAAGTTTTTAAAATTTTAACAATTGTGCCTACCTTGAGCCCCCAAGGATTTTTTTTTGCTTAGACAGAACCAGGAATCAATGTGATTAATTCAGAATACGAATATAGAAGGTCGTTTGATTCGTTTCCTGTAATTGAGCGTGTTGAAGTCCCAGTCTACGATGGTGCTGGGTGCGGTGGGCGAGCGCGGAGTGCGCGGTGTACGGGGGGTGCGCGGTGTGCGGGGGGTCCGGGTGTCGGGCGGCGGGTCGGCGGCGGGGGGCGCGCGGCGGTCGCCGGGGGGCGCGTCTCACAGCGGCTCGCGGCGCGGCACCCACACAGTGGGCCCGCTCTCGGCAGTTATCACCGCCTTCACTTTAGCGTAGATCTCCTCGGGCGTATCTCCGGTAACCACCGCTGGAAATAAAATAATTATTAAATATTTCTATACTCAAAAAAACTCAGAGCTAATCTTAATTTCATAAAGGATCGTTTAGATTGTCTGGAGTAGAGGAACATACTTTTAGATGTTATTAGTTAGAATCCTTTGACGCGAATGGCGTGTTTTCGTTACCAAATCAAGTGTCAGAATTACAGTGAGAGGACATAAACGCCGACATTTTAGTGACGCTAGTGTTGCGCCAGTACACCGGCGCAGTGTCGGATTTTCTTTTTTACAATACTGACATCACACTAACCCGTAAAGTATTCAGCGAATTCTTGTTCCATTTTTAGTGCTCGTTCGTAAGTTTTCTTCGCCTGGTCTTCAGTCATCCTTTTATTCATCTCCCTGTAAAACATAAATTATTGTATTTGTGAAAAAGTTTAAAACAAAACTAAAACTGACTGATTTGATGCTTAGTGACATAATACAAGCGTACTTACATAATAGACTCTACACTCTTTGGTTTAATAAATATGGCAATGGGGTAGAGCTGCGCCACTTGTAATCTCTTGATGGCGTTCCCGCTCACGTCCAAAATGCAATGCTTGCCCTGAAATTTAAAAAAAAATGTTTTAATTTATTAACTAGAGTATATGAAATTTACACAAAATTTAGTTAAAATAAGAGCCTTATAACATGAATTTTTAATGTGACAGGTTTTTTGTGAACTTTGTGTAGTCTTTATGATGAGTTAAATCGGTGTTCAGCACATAAACACACAATGATATTAATAATCATAGCAACAAAGTTAAATTCTAATGCGTTTTAAACCAACTACGGTCACGTCCTATAGGTGGTCTCCATTTTTTTTTGCGGTTCAAGGTCATCTGCTCCCTGCGTATCCCTTTATATTTGAAATTTTGTTCTGAGCAGGGACTTCACGAAGTTCTGAGAGACCAGTGTGTTTGAAAATATACCTTCTCGGCGACCTCTCGCACGGAGGCGACTGATGTGCCGTAAAGGTTGTCGTTGTACTGTCCGGCCTCAATGAACAGGTGGTTCTGTATGTCGCGCTCCATCTGCTCGCGCGACGACACGAAGTGGTAGTCGCGTCCGTCCACCTCGTAGTCGCGACGCGGCCGCGTAGTATCTACATACATTACAATATTAATATCACGAAAGTAATTAATCCTATAGCTTTTTTTAGTTTATTTCTTCTCTGTTTACGCTTACAGGTTGCGGTGTGAGTTGCTTTGTAAATACTGTTCAATGAGAAGCAATCTAATGGTTTTTATGTGAGAAGCAAGGAAATAAGAAATAAGCAAGTTATGTTAATATAAAAAAATACATTTAACTCTTATGAAGTCGTTTGATTCAATTCAAGCATTCTAACGAAACCTCTAAACAGATATAAGGCTATCTGTTATGATAGTAATATAATTCTATAAATAATTAACACAAACAACAATAAGGTCATTTGTAGTGTTCGGACTTTGCTTATCTCTGATTGACATTAGCACATGCAACTCCCACATTGACTCACATCCAACTGTTGTTAATCTATATCCTATTATAAGTGGTATAAGAATATCGCATTTGTATAAATACAAATATAATTAAATACTATATAAATACATCATAGAGCTGAAAAGGTCATGCTCGAAGGACCAAAATTCTCAATTTTATTATTAAAATGTACACAAGCTATATGTAACTGTATGGATAGTTTGAATACTAAGATTTAGTTACTTACGAGGCACACAGCTTCCAAACTTGTCAGGAAACTCTGATATGAGGTCATCGTTGATCCTGTCCTTGAGAGGTCCCAAGATAATGACCGGCCTCGTGTAAGCTATCGTCAACTGCTGTACCGTCTCATATGAGAGCACATTCTCATCTTGGCCTGCGGAATACAAAAAGAAAAATTATCGCCACATTATACAAGAAAAGTTAAAAGTAAAGAAAAAATACCATACATTCTATAAAACCTCGAAAAGTTAATTTCTTTAGTTCTCTAACAGAACATAGTCTATTTTCCAATTTTATATGTGTAGAGAAAATATACAATAAAAATACCAAACTCGTCTACACTAAATTATTGAAACAAATTCCTTGTATACCATGCCTTAGTTTCGATTAAAAACATATTAAATGGCAACAATAAGAAACAGAGAATTTGCTTAATAAAACCTTATTGAGTTAAAATGTAATAAATCGTAGATATTCGTGCGAGGCGTGCTAGGTGACTAGTCTAGTTTTATTGGACCTATATCATTCTTAATATTTCTATTTCGATATTTATTTCACAAGTGTCTCCTTTGATATGGGCAATGACAGGCTGAGTGAAGATTATCATAATTTTATGTGACATTACATGTCATTTATTTACGCGTAAAAGCGTTTTCGTAAGTACATATCTTGTCACTTTGGCGCATTTTAGTTAATCGTCAATGTAAATTAGTTACCGACCAGATAAAGTACTTACATAAAGCCAAATAAAAATGTACACTAAAGATCACTCATGCTATACAATTTTTTTTAATTTAGCTAAATTAATTACTCGATATATAATAGCCAGGATTAAAACGTATTTAATCACAAAAAGTTAATTCTGGCTTATAACCACAATACTTTTGTATGTAAAAAAATAGAAGCAAATATACATAAAATAAAACACCTTGCAACGACTAGGCTAATAAAATAATTACAGCGTCTATGTGTTCGAAGCGGAATACATTTGATGCTGAAAAGGAAACCCAGCGTAGTAGTGTTCTGGTAACAAATCAATTGGTAAAACAAGCCCGTATGGTGGTGTGATGGTTTAATGGCCCGGACGTGTCCATGGCATGCTGGTGACGTGCGGCGACTAGAGGCGAAGCTCATTCGTGCGCAAGCGCCGCGGGTGACAGGGGGCACTCTGATCGCCATCCACTACCCCCAAAATCCCCCGCCCTCCCTCGCCTTCCTCCGACTAGTCGTTCGCGTGTTATATCGATGCTGACTCGACTGAGGCGGTCCGGAATCGATTTTATATTACGAAATGAATTTCAAACATCGTGAGCTTCGATGACGAGAGATTCGTGTGCGGATAGGCTATTAGAATTCTCGCGTTGTATGAATTAGGAAAAAATAAAAAAAAATACGAAACAAAACTTAAGATGAAATAAACAATAGTATAAAAAGATCGAAGTGTTATTTGAAAATGAATAACTACGTCTCTAATTTGATGATCATAACCAGAATGCGGGAGATAAGGTAATCCGCTACGGCACTCGCAAGCTACGCCTCACTCCCAAAACTTACTCTCGTCCTCGAGATATATGAGCGTTATCTCCTCCATCATGGGAAGTTCCACTCGGTACAAGATTTCCCCTACACGTAGAAAAATTAACGTTATATACATTTAAAAACATTCTACATGATACCGTATGGGCCAGAACAATGATTCGATTGCACAACTTAGATTTTTTGCAAAGGTCGAGAGATGTTTCCATTGAATTTACTAGAGAATCCATTATATTTTAAAATAGCGCTTGAAAACACAAGGTGCAAATAAAAAGACAATAATGGAATGACAATAGGTGTGTGTGTGTGTGGTTTCGGGTGGACAGAAGCACGGGGCGGTCGAACGCCGGACGCCATCTGAACCGAACTGTGTGCCTCGACCCAGTCTCACGATATGTTATTCCAATGTCTAACGACACAGCTGTGCAAAGCGAATATTAATACCTAGATAGTACACTCAGCCATCTATTTTTATTTCCACCAAAATTAATTTTTCTACAACCTATAACCCTTCTTCTGCACATAACACACTGCACTGACGAAAATGTTAATTGAAAAATAAAAAAAAATACACCCGACTACTTGCTGTAGTTGCTACATCGAAGCTAAGTTAAAAATGTTTATATATTTTATTACATAAGCAAGCTAACATGCAGCCATTTAATGTTGTAAAGTCTGGCAACACCGACGACAGCTGGTCGCTAGATGGCGCAAGTGTTTGTGGCTAGCGTATTATAAATTATAGTTCGTAATGTTCACTTACTTAAAACCAAACGGGTTTACTATTTATTAATATAATTACACAATATAATTAATTATTGATTACGTCATACATTTAAATGCCAAGATATATATGTTACTTTTACGTTTTAAACAGTTTAATTAAGGTCGAAATTTGAAAAATAAATAAAATTGTGTTCAGACATAACCAGCGTTCAATTTAGAATTTTTCCTTAGTATAATAGGGTTCTACATAATATGTGCTGTCGTTTAACATACTTGTTTTGTTTTGATAACCTGAAGACTTTTGTCAAATTAATAAGGAAAATGTAAACACATTTGCATACTCCGGTGATGCATATGCAATATAATCCTTAAAAATACTTAACTTAAAATACTTAAGTAGAATAAACTAATCTACTAAATAAATCATAGTACATCTACTTCAAGTCCAAATATCAAAGTTCTCGTTTACAAGGATCTTGTGGAACCATGCTGATGCTTTTCTCATACATTTTTATAATACCAACAACACTATAAGTAATCATTACTTTTACATATTTCAATAGATTTATACTTTATAATACGTTTTATTATCATTGATATAATAAATAAATTATACTTCACTGTAATAATCAAGCATAAAGAGAAATATATATTAAAATTCAACTTTGTCTGCGCTGTACTTTAAAATAAAAAGTATCTTATTTATTCAATGACACTATATTTTATATCTTTGCCAAATTTCAATAAAATATGTCAAATCGATGCGGAGTTATCCAGTAAATATATAAATCAATCGTATCCTACGGGAACTGTACATGTTCCTGGAAACATAGGTAGCCTATGTGATCTTCCAGACTGTATTCTACATTTATACCACATTTTATCGAAATACATGCATCTTAGAGATATATTCTAACAAACATCTATCCATCCAAATATTCGTATTTATATTACTAGCTGTTGCTCGCGTTTCCGTTTGCGCGGAACTAAAAAATAAAAATTAATTAGCCTATACGTTCTTACAGATTATATTCTACATGTGTGCCAAATTTCATAAAGATCCGTTTAGCCGTTCTGGGCATATCTTCTAACATTTATCTATCCAAACATCGAAACATACGTATTTATTTAGTAAGATATAAGATTATAATAGTGATATTTGTCTGTAGCCTGCACACGAATGCGTCTGACAGAGCGTTGGTAAAATACGACCGTATGACAGTATATATAATATTCTGACAAAATCACCTTAACATATAAACGTGGGTTTCTACTACCGAAACATACAAAAACATATATTCATCTCTTTCAATTTTATAAAAAAGAGATGACAATAAGTTTCCATACGGTTGTTTCGTCAATGGAAATGCAACTTAACTTAAACAATTCCCTACATATAATATAGTACAACAACATATATTATAGGTTTTTTAATGATTGTGATAAAATCACTTTAAATTAAATTTAAAAAAACATAAATTACATAATAGTGTTTTCTTGTTGAGTTAATCCAAAATATTAATAGATTATTTAAATAACATTAAACATAATAAAAAATTGTAATAAATAAAACATTTTAATACATATAAGAACTTAATAATATAAAAAAAAGAAAAATAAAATCAAGGATTGTTTATAAGAACAACTGTAATACGATCGTGTAAAAAACGGCGAAACTATGAAACCTACTTATGATAAACAGCGATAAAAAAGTAAAATATATGACTATATTTAAAAAAAAAACTTACCATCCGCATTTGTATCCTCTTGCGTGTAACATAGCATGAAAGCTGCAACAAACACATATGTTATGTTCAAAGACAAATAACGTATGATAAGACAATTCTTTAAAGAATATTTTCCAACCAATTAATCTAATTTCATATAAACTGATTTACCATGGATTTCTGAAACCAAAGTCCCCTTTTAAGGGATGATGATATATTTTGTACGGAGAAAAGGGCCCAGAAACCTGCGATAAATCTTTTTATTCTATGCAAATATAAATTGATATAGAAAGATATAAAAAAATACTTACGTTCTTGATCCGAACCATCTTCTGATTTACCATCCTCTCGACTCTTCATGAAAGGAAACTTTCTGCTAAACGATAAAGTTTTCTTTTTTCTTTCAAGAGTAGATTGGCTCTGTAATAACAAAAAAAGCATTAAATTAGTTACGAAGAATCTAATTTAAAGTCATAATAATAGGCTAATGCGCATGTTGTTTTGTCGCATCGTACACTGCCATCTGTTATTCCTTGTCATAACTAAAGTGAGGTGGGCATTGCGCCTCAAAATCTCAACACCCATATATTTTTTTCATAAAATAAATAAATAAAGCAAAAATAAAAGAAATGTATCAACTTACAGTACTTACTGGCGTGCCCTGTCCCTGGAACTTGACCTGCCTGTCCCGTGCGCGCTGCTTGCGCTCCCAGCGACGCTTCGACGGTATTATACCGATCGCGTCCGCCTCCGTCGTGTCTATTCGTCTAAACAACAAAAATATTCTCATTACAAACTATTTCTAACATATTTAATGTCGATCCTCAGGTAGTCAATACATTAATTTAAATTAAAAATACATCCATACATTAGTTGAAACATACATTTGAATTAAATCAATAGTCATCTTAAATATTTCTTGATTCCAGAAGACCGCCGTAAGCGAGAGACCTCTATAAACAAGAACAATATAGCGATCTCTCTTACTCTCGCTTATCCATATTTAGAAACTTACTAGAAAAAAATGTATTTGGCAATGTCTTAAGTACTTTTTGCTCAAAGCCCGTGAATAAGTTCATATACAAATATGGGTAGTTAGAATCAAGTTATCGCCATCTTAGTAATAAGGTTTTATTTTATCAAAACAAATTAACTTGATCTTTAATACATAGTAAATGTAATAGATTGTTTAGTTATGCGGTCACATTGTTGATTGTGTCAAATGCATTACAAAGTGGCATGCCTTTACCATTTAAGGTTTGAATAGTTCGCACGTGCGGTAGGATTATAAAGCGTGTCTCGAATTAATTATATTGTTTATTTTATATGTAAATAGAATATTAGTTAAATTGTACAAACTGATTGGGTTGGCGGCCGGTGACTTCGATCCTTGGTAGCGTTAAAAAATATAAAATTTTACTATATTACAAACGAAAACATTCTCAACAAAGGATTCTTTTTCAACAAACGATTTCGAATGTAACGAAAGTGTTGTTCGTATTTATAAGATTTACCGTGAGTTTTTGAGACCAAAATCTCCGTATAAGACATATTGTTATCTCGGATTTGTCAAAGATGTACATTTTGGTCTCAGAAACCTAAGTGTTAAGAATTATATGAAAGTCTAACAGCCTTTTTACCTTACATAACCATGATTTTTTTTAAACGTTTGGTTAAACCTCCAGATAGTGAGATCTTAAATCTATAGTCTATGTACTAAGTTATTCTTATAAACAATTCATTAGTTATTATTCAAACCACATCAACTGAATGACGCTTAATTATGTGCTAACAATCAGATGCATACAAATAAATATTAAAGTCGCAATTTATTGCGCAAAACTAATTACGAGACAATTTTGCTACAATATATTAATTAAATTCTATTGAGTACTTGCTGTCGCCCGCGACTTTGTGCGAAATAAAAAAAAACTTATTAACTAGCCTATGCGTTCTTCCAGACTATGTTTTACATGTATGCCAAATTTCAGCGAGAATCGTGCAGCCGTTCTGGAGATACCTTCAAACAACCATCCCGTCCATCTATCTAAACATTCGCATTTATAATATTAGTAAGATAGTATGAAGTAAGATTAAGATAGAAAACATACAAAATATAATTACCTGGCTTGCCACCATTCGTCATCAGAAGCGTTTGTGACATGCAGTATATCTCCGTACCGGAATGGCAGTCCTCGGGATGGTAGACCATCGTCTCTTACAGGGTCGTAGTCGAATAGTGCCCTGTCAAAATATTATACATTTACACTTATGGTACAATCATTAGTATTGTCTGCAATTTTGAGTAGTTTGTTATTTTACAAGTTTAAATGCTTCGTAAGTTACACTTTCTTACCCTTGGTTTCTGAGGTCAAAATATCTATGTATAAAACATATCCCTTTAATTAACTTTGACAAAACTGAGATAACAAAAAGTTATAAACGGGGATATTAGAAACCCACAGTTAGTGTATATTTTGTTAGATGTACTTAATTTACGTTTAGACTTAAACTGAGTTATTCCGTAAATATTTGCATGTATATATAAAGAACATATTTATCATAGTAATACTAATTCTGTATGTTAAGAATTTTTAGGACCTTAAAAGTACATCCAAAGGTTTAAATATCACATAACTATGAAGAAACAATATTAATTATCAATGATTCGATGATTCACAAGTTACGTCTCAAGCAGACGACAAAAAATCTGGCATGTCATGAGTCAATTGGGCCATTGTTTTGTTAACACTCAATTGATACTTCGTCAGATTGCTTTACTACCTCAGACCGGACAATTGGAACTAAATATATATATATATGTTTTTAAGACATATATAATTTATAAAATTTCAATGTAAAAAGTTGGTTTTTGTAGGTTTCAACTGATTGTGGTTTCAAATGTCTGGCTTACCTTACATAAAGTGATCGCTTTTGTGACGTTCTTAAAAGTGTGTGGTGCTGTTTAAGTTCGTTGATACGGGCTTCAAACTTGTTGTATTCTTGCGGCCGATACACTACTGTCAGTTTTACATTCTGTCCTGTGCCCTGAAAAAAAAACAAAAATATAAAAAAAACTTCCAAATCATTTAACGAATCTAAAACTTTCAAAATCGTGATAACATAATTATGTATACATAAACCCTAATAATACAAAAATAATATAGTAAACAGGTACATCAAAGTAAGTTCACATATTTGTTTTCAAAATTCAATGTAGTACAAAATAGGAGAATCATGTTATATTTACGTAACAATGTTAGAACATTGTACTTTTAATTACTAACACATTTTCATAACAACTGCCACAACTCATAATATTATTCACAATCACGGTTGCGATTGTTTAGAAAACGTTGTAAAGAACTTATTTTGTATGAAAAAGACATTTTTAATTTTTAAACTGTACTTTACAAACATCACATTGATATTGTATTGTTATTTTTTTTTCTTAAGACAAACTTTGTCAAAGAAAAACATTGTTACATATCCAATACTTATGGAAAATGAATCCACCATCATTTAAATTCTTAAACCAAACAATAATCATTACTTCCCGTAAAAGTTCTTTGTTCATAAAAACTTTTTGATACTAAAAATAAGTGCAACATAGTAAAAAAACCTATATTACTAAATCAAAAACTCCTTACTGTTAGGAAGAAAATCCTACACTGTGCCGGTGTACTGTCGCAACACTAGCCTTGCTAAAGTATCGACGTTTATGTCCCTCACTAATCATTCTGACACTTGACTTTGTAACAAAAGCGCGCCATTCTCGCTAAAGGATTCTAACTAATAATGTCTAAAATTACATACCTTCAAAGCTTTTGCTGCTTGTTCATGCGTTGCGTGCGTTATATCAATATCATTGACGGCAAGCAACCTATCTCCCCTGCGCAATTCCCCTGATTTCTCTGCCGGCCCTCCAGCGAGTAAAAAGGACACATAGATCCCGTGTCCATCTTCACCTCCCACTATATTAAAGCCGAGACCTTGGGGGCCTTTTTCTAGTTCAACAACTCGTGGCTCTTCAGTACCGTCCGTTACGTCTTCACGTCGTAGAGAATTAGCCGTGCTTGAAGCTGAAATACATTTAACATGTTAAGATTGCATTTCACTAACAAATTTCATCAAGATCCATTGAGCCGTTCCGAGGTACTTTCAGACATCCATCCATTTATACATTGGCTTTTATAATAGTGGCAAAATATATATGATCCGACAGAAGACACTGAACTTGTTATTAAGAGAATGTTACATAGCTTAGGAACTACAGATAAGGCAACTGGGTAGATTTATTTCAACTTACGCGTATTAGCCCGTGATGTCCTCGGCGAGGGCTGTCCGTGCCTGGGTCCGGGCACTAGCACAAGTAGCACGCGCTCACCGGACGCCTTGAGCGCGCTGACCGCCTCCTCGTGCGTCACATTGTCAAGGTTCACATCGCCTTTCTGACAACAAAGATAACAAATGCTATACATAGAATTCCATACTTAATATTTGTCACTATTCTTTTCCATGCTATTTTCTCCTTATCAATTCATAACTCTTGTAATCTTATTTTGATATTCCAACTGGAGTTACTATCTTTTCTTGGCTTCTTAATATTTTGTACTGTGTATAATCTTGACAAGATACATAAAATAAACAAGCAGCCATTTCTTAATTCTTTAAATAAATAATATAATATGCAACACATAACGTCGAAAAATGTGAGTTCGTCCGCGCGGAATTAAAAAATCTAGTCATAAATATATGACACCCATAATTTACAATCCCCTATGGTAAAAATTTTATTCAATACAAATAAACAACCAAATCTTTCTTCTTTACAATAATATATGTAACATGACTACAAATAATCTCTTACCGATGTGTTTTTGACCATGAGCAGTTTATCGCCGACCCTCAGCCGTCCGTCTCGATGTGCGGCGCCACCAGCCATTATCTTGGTGACGTAGATACCATTGTCGCCCGGTATGTGTTGATTGCCTACACCTCCTGCTATACTGAACCCTAGACCTGATCCTCCTTTAACCAACTCTATCTCTACAGCCTCTTCTTTATTTGTTATGCTCGGTACTGTTAAAGTGTTCTCGGCAGTACGGCGCCTTATTTTCTGTAATATTTCACCAAATTATCCTATGAACTAAATGATGAGTATCAAACATATAAACCATTTCTTACAGTAGTATACATGGAAAACAATCCTTTACTCCACAAAATCAGTCAAAACATTTAGGTACATAGTTCATAAATAATCTAATAGTTATATTTTCAAACAGGTAAATAAACATACCAGTCTTACAGTGTTGCCGGCCTTTTTTAATGCATCTACAGCTTCAGCATGAGTCACATTTTCAACATTTGTGTCATTAACCTAAATATAAATAAATATATTATTAATCTATAACTTAAATGTTTAAAATGTATATAAAATTACTACTATGTCTTACTAATATTATAAATGCAAATTTGGCATAGATGTAGAACATAGTCTGCAAGAACACACAGAACAAGACTACAAATTATGTTGTTTTTTTAATACCACGCAGACGGGGTCGTGGGCGATAGCCAGTGTATTAATATAACAGACAAATCTGTAACCTATAAAATTCTATGTTTAGTTTTAATCAAGGTTAATTAAGGCTAATAAAGACCACACTGACACAATTTATTTTATTTTGTTATTTTTACATGGTAATCTTTTTAAATTATATTGATTAACTTAATAGCCAGTAATCAAGTGTATTTATCAAATAGTTTAACACATTCAATGCTACTGACCGGACATTCCAATTTACTTTAGCATAATGATTTGGTTACTAAACTTACTTGCAAAATAGCATCATTGATCTGTAGTTGACTTGCAGCAGCCGCACCACCAGGGATAAGTTTTGTTACATAAATAAGTGAATCCTCGGCCACATGTGGGTTGTCAGAGCCCCCTGCAATACTGAAACCAAGGCCCGCACCTCCTGCTCTTGATAGTGCTACTGTCAGATATAAAAATCCATCTTCACCCACTGTCCTGTCTGTTCCACCACCTTCTATGCCATTTATCTGTAACTTCAAATCAAAATCAATAATATAGAATGCATTAATTTATCATATTGAGTACTCTGTGACCCAAACCAATATTTGCTGTAGCCATTTAACTCTACAGCTGGTTGAAAATTATTTTGTATCCATAAAATTCATATACATTGTTTTATGAATTTCCTAGATATCTCTATAAAAATAGTAATGAACACCAATGAAAAAAATAATTATATTTTCTTGTAATGTTAGAAAGTAGTGCATCAGTACCTTTATGTAAATATTTTGCATGTGCAAGGTTTTATTGTTCTGATATTTAATAAATAAAAAATGTAGACCTCAATGACATAAATACATACAATGTAACTAGACTTAACAATAAATTATATTTATGTAACTTATATATATGCAAGTTCTTGCTTCTCTACCATTCTTACAATACACAAATTTAATAGCTAATTAGCATTTATAAACATAATTGTAATTTATAATAACATTGTACTACAAAACTTTATGAAATTAATGCAGTATGCCTATTAAAAAGATTTTTGATCTATGAAAAGGAAAAAGAAATATATGTAATTTATTAATTAGGCCATAGGCTTGAAATATATAATGGAGTTGCTTACCTGCTTCATTTCTGGTGTTGGAACGTGAGCCTGAAAATGGAACACCATTTATAACCACTCCCTAATTGTAAACAATTAAATATATATCTAATGAATGTGAGTTAAATATTAACACAGTTAAAGTAGAGGCATATATTTTGAGGTGGCATTTCACCTACATGAATGTTTGAAATTACTTTCACTATGGCAAACATGTTTTGACAACATGCAATGTTGGTCAGTAGTTCAAGTTCTTATCTGTTACAATTGTAAAATACAAGCACTGGTGGCTCACTCACCGTGTCAAGATTGAACAGGGAGGATACTTTTCGAAGGAATCCATTGTGCGTTTTTTTCTTTCGTCTTTCTGTCATTTTGAAGAACGATTGTGCATAGCCTCTGGGCACTTATATCAATCTCTCCACTACACTATGTACACTGCATGCATTGTTAGTTACACACTTGTGCTTGTTCTGAGCACCGTACTGGGCGACGATCGGCATGCACCATTCTCTACCTAGAACCCACGTCTAGCTTGCACCAACGTTTATAACAGCTAGGACCATATTCAAAATAGAACACCTGCGTGTAAGTAGTTTAATCCCATTATTTAAGCTGATTAACATGTTAGCTTGTTTCGTAAATTGCACAAGTCCTTATCTAATGAGTGTTATAATCATCGAGCCGAACCCTTTTCTGATAGTGATACTGTTACGATGTACAGCTTTGTAGTTATTGGTTTGTCGCCGATTGTGTTCAATGATAGGATGGTACGAATGTCAAAGCGATGGACTTTAATTAGAATGTCCGTGTAACGTTATTTAACGTGCAATACAAAACTGCTGGGCTGGGGAGCATTTGTTGTAAGTGGGTAAACGATCAGCGAGTAACACAGCGATTTGTCACAAGCAAAACTATCTTAGGAATCTCATTAGCCTCACCAATGATTCGAAAACGCTCCCAAATTATAATGAAATTACTAAACGTTTAAAAATAGATTAGTGTATATTATATGGCCTTACTTGAAACGAATACGAAATATCAGCAGTGTGAATGTCAAAATTTTATGTGCAATATCATTTCACTGAAAATTCATCTATTAGTTGTATTTTTCAATCAACGCACAACCCGTACGACATTGGCACAATTGTAAAATTTAACAGCACAAATCCACACAACTGCGAAACGTTAGCGTACATATCGCTGAAAACTTGTACTATATTTTAGGTTATAAATAGTACTACGGGACGCGAAACACCAACCATCCGCCATTACCAACCACTTGTTGCTTGTTGAACAACGTTTTGGTACCTTCAGTCCCGTCACGTCATCAAAGAAAAATCTCAACGAAATAATCGAGTATCGGTAAACATCGAAGTGTTTTAGTATTTTTGCGGTAGATGGCGGTATTATTAAACATTTGCCACGTGAACAAAGTTCTATCTCGTAAAATACATCTTTTGCACAGATCTTTTGTATGTAAGTATTTATTTTAATTTCTTTGATATTTGTTTTTTAACGTTTTAAAAATCTTCTTTCTACTATCATAAATAATATTAGACATAAATTGTATCAGCGCCTCTAGGCCCATGCGGAATAATAATACTTTGATAATGTACGGATGCATTACTTTCAATTTGTAAGTTACAAGTACTATATTATGCTTTGGCATAATTTCATGCCAACAAGCCAAAGAATTTACAACGTGTTAAAACATTATTGGATTTATAAAGGTTTTACTTGGCTTTACTATTAAGTGCGAGTATTACACTCAAATATGTCCACTATGCATCATACAACGTAGACTCGAATTATGGACTTTAAAGCTTGCGGTAATGTTGCAGAAAAGTCAACGCCAATAATTGTATTTATTTATCAACTTCAAATGTTTCTTCAATTTTTTTTTTAAATTTACATTATACATAAGTAAAATACCACCTCATGCCTATTTCACATAATTTTCAAATACTATTTTTGTAACTTGTCATTTGTAATGAATAGTAATGTTACGAACATTTTGTGATTTGATTAACATTACCTTTTTTTCTTCATTGTCACCGCACGGTGATAACATCGGTGTAGTTCCCATCTGTAAACAACATTTTTTTTAGTTTTTATTTTCTCAATTGTTTCCACTTTGACAGTTACTTTTACTTCTCGTATTACCTTCCCCGAATCTGGAGTGTCATCGTTTCTATGTTCTTCTTTCCTGTTGCTGTCCTGTAAGAATGCGTTTGACACAGATCTGTAATCGCCTTCATCGGTGTGTATCTAGAAGAAAAAACATTTTATTCTACTAAAACGTATTATATTATACAACTAGTACGTTAAAAAAATTATGTGTAAATAAAAAGGGTAACGAAGATTATTTTTTTAATAAAACTGTATGAACTAACAAGAGCTGTTCGTGACTTTGTCCGCGCCGAATTAAAAAAAACCTAGTAATAGATATAGGACATAACAAACCTATCCTCTTTATTACAACTCTTTATAAACAACTTGACGTATAGCGATAATTTAAAGGTAAGATATCTTTGCATGAATACAGGTCTTAGAATTAATCGACATGCATGAGTAAAAAGAATTGCCGTACGACGATTGTTTGATTTACGATTGACCGATTTAATAGGTAAAGGTAAAATAGACCGTGTAGAGTTACTGCAACTTTTATGTCATAGATAAAACCTAAGAAATTGATAATATCAACATCGCTGTAGTGGAAATCCTGTTATTATTTGATTTACAATTTTTTTTTTAAATTGATAGGATTTATGTCTTTACCTTACATTTTCGCCAAATAATAGATCTCTATAGTAAGTGATATAAACGTCGTCATCAGCTCACTATACGTCCCCACTGAGGGACTCTTAGCCTACCCAAAGTCACGGGTGACTAGGCCATAGTCAACCATGTTGGCCCAGTGCGGGTTGGTTGACTTCACACATATCATTGATTTTCTTCTCAGATATGTGCAGGTTGCATCACAATGTTTTCCTTCACCGTAAGAACGTTGGATAAATGCACATATGTAAATCGGAAATCGAAAAACACATTGGTACATGGCGGGATTCGAACTCAGGAACTGCAGATCGCAAGTAAAGTGCTTGACCCCTGAACTACCGACGCTCCCTCAGTCACCGACGCTCATATAAACGTAAAACAGTTAATAAGTTGAAAACCCCTTCATGACATTTTCTGTTTTTCTCTTAACATAAAATAAGGTAAGACCAAAATCACAACACCATTTGATACCTATCTTTGTTTAAGCAACTGATTCAAAGTGTAAAAGTAACAAAAGTGAACTGCTATTTTGTGCAGACGTCGGAATCAAAATATCAAAATGTCTATGGCTATACAATGGGAAACATTTCGCAATCAAAATACTGCTACTGTTGCACAAAAAGGTATATGCGAATTCGTTTCATGGACCGCCTATGCCGGCTGTATCGGAAAATTAACAGCAGTAAATAAAACTTTAGTCCAGAAATTGTTGGCTCGTTCACTAACGAAACCTTATCTTTTTTATTTTTTAACAAATTGTTGATGTTTTTTGTTTCCCGCTCATTTTAATTAGTCCGGTACAAATGTATGGTACATTGGCGCGAAACTAAAGTAGGAAACACATATTTTTAACTGTAAATTTTTTAATATACTTAATGAACCTATTAAATCTGATTAATCATTAAAAACAAAGTATTTCGGAATCGCTAAAAGGATTTAAGATCAATGTTCTAAATTGTGCAAATAATTAAGTACATATATATAAAAAACCAGTAGGTAAATTGTATAAAATTGGTCAAACAGAAACACGGAATAGACGTCAGTTTCGTTCACTATCCAAATGTTCCAGGCCGCGGGATGTTTGCAAAAGCCACAACGTTATTTCTGATTTATCAAATAGTTCTAGCCACCGACCAAATAAAGTCGCTACTCTATTTATTTTTTATTGTTTCTTTTTTATTCCAATTTTAAAAAAGTTATACATTTTTATTATGATAAAAATAGTTCTCAAGTTACATAAGCGAAGCTAATAATTAGTGAACAAATGTAATATTAGTAAGATGGTGCAATGGCAGCTGGTGCATTGGTATGTGAACATTTGGAGTGGAATTGCCTTTACAAAATATCTAGAAGCTATAATTTATTTGATTTTAAAAAACTCTCACCTCACGTCTCGTACCATCTGCTTCCCACTTGTTAGCAATTCGTATTGTCTCTGCAGTCTTCTGCTGGACCGACTTGTTGTCATCCAATAATGTTAGCTCATAGAATTCTTGAATATCTGTAACAAAAAACACACTTATATACATATACTCATTTAAGTAAGATTCATACCGATTTTATATTTTAATTGAAGTGGATTTTTCGGATGAAAGGCACGCGAAAGGAAAATATTCTCTTACTGTGCATCCTCTACTCCGTCGATTAAATGCAGGCAACGCATGTTCTACTGAGTATGTCTATAGGTAACTGTCGTATCGCTGTTTTAGAGATTTATGTTGGCCTTATGGCACCTTATGATATAAAAAAATAAATTTTGAGTCGGTCTTTCATAAATGGTAGAGTCAAATACGGACAAAAATATAAAATTAATTAATGGTCTGCTAATGAGCTGGTTCAACGTGTAACAAATAATTTTACAATGTAACGAAACAACTATAAAATAAGAATCAAAAACAAACATTTAATAATATGCCTGCCTTTATTTTTGACGTTTTATTTTAAGAACGATTGAGTTTTAGGTCAAAGCGATGTGAAAAGGTTATCAATTTCTACTACCAAACGCTAGAAATGCTTTGATGTGGAATGGCATATTGCCTAGGACATACTAGTATTTATCAAGTGCAAGTTTTTTTAAGTAAGAGCAGTTATATCTTTATTCACTTTGTGAACAAATAGATGTAGAGTCACAGATGAATAGAGCAGATTTAGACACCTTACAAAATAATGTTTTTTTGTAAACAGATAATTGTCAGAGTCCATGGTCTTTGAAGCAAAGATTCAATTGTTTTTCCGTGTCATGAAATATTATAATAACCTTTATGTTACAGAGATACATAAATAAAGACAGCGCGGTTGAAAAAAATCGATAGATCGTTAGTGACAGCACGTTCACTTATAAATAAAAAAAACACTGAGGAAAAAGTATCTAGGTTATGTTTGATTATTAAAAAGTTGATCACTATTAAGTGTATACGAGAATGAACTCGTGGAATATCGCGTGAGTCGAGCCAAGATCGATAGCGCGGCCAGCGAACTCCAACAGCGAGCATACTTTATACAACAATGTTATGGTTATGGCCAGATACAGTCAATTTACTATATCAGATTCAATTCGATTAGAGAATGCAACGGTTGTCTACATTAAGTGAAATATTTATCTCATAATGTACCTTGGAATATATAGTAACTATCGGAAAACTTCAAGATATGAATCCGAAGAAAGATATCCAATTACAAAAAATATTTTTAATCAACTTTTTTGTCGATAAGATTATACAACAAAATATTTTTTTTTCTGTGGTGCGCATAAAATTACAGGTTGGGAGTATTTTATTACTCTATAACCCGATTATTTTGAGCACAAAGTAAATGAAATGTTGTTACATTCGTGTGCTTTGACGTAAAAGTCGACCCATATTCCGTGTGAAATGCTTTTAAAAGCTGTGGATTATTTTTAAATCGATTAAATATGTTTCTTTTATATCATGCCAAGTTATATTTACAAATTTGTTCTCAGGTTTCTTTGTTTTAGGATTCTAATTTCAAGGACATTCCCCTTTTATATAATATCCTAATGTCATGTAACTAAGAACGTTACAATGAAAGCAACAAAGTATTGATTGATGAACTTTTAACGCATTTTCCAGAACTAACTGCAATAACTCAGTCGCTGAGTTAAACGAATGAGTAGGGTAAAGATTTATTGCAGGCGAAACCTGGGAACGTTGTAGTCGCGGCGAACGTTCCTGGCCACTAGAGCGTAGGCTAATCAGTATCGATTAGAAGAACTTTCTAAAAGTACATACCTGACTGTTTTATATACGAGAATCACATATGGAAAACGATCTAGATAAATATTATAATAAATTGCTGTTTTGATTATAAGAATGTGAATCGTCATTCGTTACTTAGTGTATATTTGAAATTTGTTAAAGATTCATCTTAAACGAACTAGAGGTTTATAAATTCCTTTAAATGCAATTATTGGTACATACAGCACGTGATTAATAAGTATTCTATCAAACTTAATACTTTGGGCAAATTCCAATAGGAAATGTTTATGTTCCGATGGACTTAATGTAGACTTAATTTAACGGTGGGTCGATCTGCCCAAGAACACACGCCCCTTTCTGATAAGTTATGAATATATTTTTTCTATAAACTCTTACACTAAAGGGGCACGAATATTATGTGTAATCAAATTAAAATCACGTCACATGATGTCATTAAAATTAAAAAGTAACGGCGATGCGTTGCTTTACGTAATTTTTCGAAGCAATAATAACAATAGGTGAAAATGTAGTTTTTAGGTTAACGAGATTCTGTAGCACGGAGATTATGCAACGACTTTGGCAGTCCGCGAGGGAACTTGATAAAACTGGGACGACTCCAAAACATTAAGGTACTATCATGAATTATTATTTACTTCCAAACTTCTTATGTCTTCGAATATTTTTAAAAATGCTTGAAATGATCGTTCACCACGTATTCAGTAGCCATTTTAAAGTCATACGTAGATGTTTAGCTCCACATGAAGAAGTTTTTTTTAATTATAATTTTGGACACCAACAACTTGATCATTAATGTTTATATAAAGTGTTTTATCGCGGAATTTAAACTTGCTTATATCATTAGAAACGTGGTTAGCAAAAAGAGATTTCTACAAAGATTTTCCGTTATTTTGGTAGTACACATTATAGATTGCGGTTAACATAAGATTTTCCACAAAACAATTAACTTTAACCGCAAACCGAAAGCGAGTTGTAAACCTATTTAAGTAATGTTTATAATTGTCTGTAAATAATTTATTTTAAAATAATGTTATTAACTAATATAAAACATGTTGTGGTATCGGAACTTTACAACATTATCATGTGAACTTTGAAACTATGATAGAATGCAATTGTAAATAGCCCAGCTGTTTCAAACAGTTAATTAGGCCCAAATTCGATTTTCATCACAGTTGTGTATTTTTAGACCATAAAAGTGTGACTCCGACGTATTGCCAAGACTTGTAATTATTATGTTATGCTGATTAAATGGTATTATACTTTGGACCAACCTTAAAAACCAATATACAAATCATGTTATAATGTCATAGTTATATTGGTGCAATAAGAGTTATTTCAGCTTCTCAAATTCCAATTAGAAATGGTTCACAGCACAACATGTCACTAACGTTCGACTTCGATACCCGGTGACCTGTATCTAGAGATCTAGGTCAACCAGATTACAGGCATAGAAGTCTGCCTTTACAATTATTACTCATATTACAATTAGAATATCGCAACGCTATAAAAGGGACAGTTTTCCTTATTATTACTAGCTGCCCGTTGTCAGATGATTTTTATATTATAATCGAAGTCAATCGTGTTGAGATTGAAACATCTAAACAATCTTACATTTATAAGCTAGTAGTCACAGACTTATTAAAAACAGATAAGTTGTATTGTTAAATTAAACACTAAATTCATCTTACTATTATAATATAAATGCGAATGTTTAGATGGATGGATGGATGTTTGAAGGTATCTCCAGAAAGGCTGAACGGATCTAGCTGAAATTTTGTCATACTTATAGAAAACAGTCTGCAAGAATACAGAGCTACTAATTATCTTGTTTTTTAATACTGCACAGATGGAGTCGCGGGTGACCGCTAGTAGACAATAAATGACTACTCCTACCTACCCTAATAGAAGCTCTGGTAATAAGGTTGTAATATTTAGTTTTTGTTGTTTTTCATAACTTTTCCCGATAGCAAAGTTTTTTTATTTTTTTTATGAACACCTAGTTTATCCAAACCGTTTCTTATTATAATGGATATTAAATATTGAAAATTGCGATTGAGAAACAAAATCTTCTAAGTAAAAAGTTTTGAAACAACAATCTTCAGAACACTGAATTTTATATGTACGCTAGACGGATCAAGCCTTAGCAATGTCGCGAGTATTGAAAAGGAAAACTTAAGATAATTTAGCGAACTGAGCCGTGACTAATACGTTGAAACGGGCTCTCGTAGGCACGTCTTATAGCAATAGCTACGTACATAGGAATACGTTAACTTGAACGTATAAAAGATGCCTTTTCAAAAATCTATTTATATATTATATATAGCCTTTTATATTTGATACTTTAAAAATTGGAATAAATATTTATATAATTATACAGGCATACTTTCTAGAGTCTTTAGGGAAGAAGGCAGAAAGATAATGATGACCTTCAATGGTTGAGACTAGCATTTAAATATAAAAAAAAATATGAAACAATTTCTAGTATCAAAGCCAATACCAAAATACTGAAGGTAATATTAGACGTATCGGGAACGGATATTCTTGTTCGCTTTGTATGAAAATAGAAATAAAATTTCCGTTAGCTTTTGATTTTCTATCATACACAGGGCCCAGAAAAGCCAGTGACGCTGATTTATAATGTAAGTACTAACTAAAAAAAAATACTGCATAATATTAAGAGAATAGTAACGTATAAAAGTTTGTCGTCGATCCTGAAACATTACTTCCATTTAAGAGCTACACTCCCCTTATTCTGTTGGGCCCAATGTCTGAACGATCACTATGTATACAAGATGAACAATATTAAACCGCTAGGTGTAAATACGTTCAACCTCATTATGACCGTCTAAATATAATGCGGATAACAATGGCAGTGTCGTGGTCAAGACTCAAGATCTGTAGTGACGCGCGTTGCGTTGCGGTCACGCGCTTGCCTCCAACTACACTATAAATAGATTAAACACGGCACATTTACCGAATTATACATCTCGTATTAGATTAATTAAATTACAACCTGTCAACAAACACGTGTACGTGTTCCAATCATGGCCTTGCACAGCCGAAACATATAAGCAGTAATTTTCCTATTCTTTCAGAACAAAAAAAAACAATATGTTTTAGAGGCATATTCAGTATTAGAACCTATGGTAAAGCGTACCAGCATTTTTATCTCAAAAATTTTACCTTTAAAATATGAATGTCTGCCAGTAATCACAAATTAATTGAAAACAGACATGTTAAAACTTACCAAAATAATCCATAGACAACATATGACACTGTCCACCCACCCAGTGAAATGAGTTAATATTATTTCTTATTTCCATTGAATTCGGCTATACGAGTATGTATTCGTATATAAAACTCACATACACATATGTATTTTATACGAAGATTATATACACATATGTATTGTACTATACGAGTATATAGCCGTCTCTTTTGTAATTGTACATTCCCAAAGCTCCCTCGCAACACGACCTTACCTTACAGACCCGGAATGCGGGTCATGTTATTTTCGTTCGGGGAAGAATAATATAGGTAGATAGAATGATATTTAATAAAGAAAAGAAAAAATTAAAAAAAGGTTCTTGTTCGTCAAAAGATTTTTTTAAACGAGCCTAAACTCAATGTGGTTGTGTCGTTTCATTGCGAAGTTCCCATGGCTACCTTCCCCATCGTATGATAGAAATTTTTGTGGAAATATGAACTAATTATCTACTTAGACTAAGTAAGTGGCCAAATTAGTCTAAGTAGATAATTAGTTCATATTTCCACAAAAATTTCTATCATACGATGGGGAAGGTAGCCATGGGAACTTCGCAATGAAACGACACGACCACATTGAGTTTAGGCTCGTTTAGGTAAGTGGCCAAAATATTTCTTTCTACTTTTACTTCATTACTCCTTTTTTTTACTTATAATTATGTTTACCTTGTTTTATTTAATTTAAACAATGTTTAGGAAGTTACATTACAGTTTTTCTTCGTATGTAGGTCATCATTAGAATACAAGCTTTTTAAAAATAGATGCAAATGAATAGCGTGATAGTATCGAATGCGCGCGTGTAGTCCTCATGGGGGATAAACGTTTGTTATACACTTTGTAAGTTGTGACAAGGGTCGACAAGGGGAATGAATAGTATCGCTCCGATATTACGGAGAAATCATGCTGCAATTGTTTGTACCATTTTTAAATTAGGTATTCAATGTTTATAAATACTTTCTTGTATGCTATATGTATGGTATGTTTAGTTATTATTTCATAAAAACCTTTTACTTTACGAATATACGGATATAGTAATTGGAAATCGGTCAAACCAGTTTAGTTAAAAATTAATTTATATTAATGATCAAATTAAATATGAAAACGTTTTTTTTATAAAATGTGTATAGCCGATATTAAAAAGTACTTACCGAGTAGAGCTTGAAATAGCCTCGACTTGAAGATTCTTATGACTCTCTCGATAGCGAGCCTAAGTTGACGATCTTGAGGCTTCACTAATTTGCTGTGGTAATCTTCCAGCAGTTCTAATGCTCGGTGGGCCTCTGTCAAAATAAAGCTACGCTTAAGTTAACGCTTTAATCCAAAATTAAAACACATAAAGTAGATAAAACCGATAATTTATGGCATCGTATGAAATTATGACAAACATTAACAAAAGGAAAGTTTGTTATTTCTTTTGATAATGGTTAACTAATTGAAGAAATGATATGTATAAATTTCGTGACACTTATTTTCTATACAGTTTTACGAAATGTTGATAAAAATTATCTTCCTATTTGCGTTTATGAATGTCTTCTATCACCAAAACTACCTAAAAACTAACTAACTAACAAAACTTTTTTAAACGATCTGAAAACCATCGTCCTAAAAGAGCTAACCTGAGTATTAAGTAGTACTTTAAAAAACGCCTGTGGCGCAAAAATCTACAAAGGTTCTTTGTCTTAAATCTCCATTACGTAGACTAAGTGTACCTACAATAGAAGTTGGAACTATTAAAAAATTTCTTGATTAAACTTACTTATCTTTTTTTTTCAATCTCGTAATTTAACTTTTTAACTACATTAAATAGTTAGAGTTTACAGTTAATAGAGTTTTTTGTAGTTTAAAACGTTTAAAAGATTTAACTGAACCTGGTAATATATTATAAGGTATGTACAAATAGCAGTTAAAAATGCTTCTAATTGGAATAACTTTCTTACACTTTCTGCCACAAACTATTCTCATCAATATAGCTTCTCATACACCTACGGGCTGTCGCCTTAATGAAAAATTGCTATGCAAATATATCAGGAAATATTTTGGTAAGTTACATACGAATTACTATTACTTACTATTTAGTTTATTTAAGTTGTTACAGTTGAACTTTTTGTAAAAGTCTTAAATTCATAAGACATAAACTGTCATAACTTTAATAAGAATACCTTAAGTTTTCTAACAGATACAATTTATTGATTTTATTTTGTTGCCCAAATCTTATTCTTATCGATGCGTAAATAAGAAATACCAAAGTAACCAACAAAGTAAATAAAGAAAAACCTTATGTACACAGTAGTAGAGTTTCTTCGAAGGTACGCAAGGCTGTACATAGTAAAAATTTAGGACAACGCGCGATTACAAAAGCGCAGAAGTATCGCATATGTATTACCTAGTTTCTTTTCTTCAGTTCAATAAAAAATGCATTAATTTTTAATATAGCATTATTCTTTTGTATTAAAAGGTGGCCAGTGTATAAGCGGCCAACTAAATTCGCCGAAATAGGTAAGCCACCGCTGCTGATACACATCAGCAATTGCAGATGCGTTGTCTACCTTTAACGGACGGGGGAGGGGTCGTTCAAAAAGAAAATATATTTTCTTCCTATCCACCTACTTCCCTGCCCATGCTTTCCTTATAAGAAAAGGGCGGGAAAGGAAAGAGGACTAACATTCAATAGTGTACATACCAGAGGACGGCCTCTAGTATGCACACTCATCAGACGAAACGCGGCATTACTTCCACTTCATTCCTGTCTTCTGTGTCGTGGTCGTGGTCGTTTCGGGTAATTTGTGCAACAGATCCTGTTGACGTCGTTTACCACTGAGTATTTTATTTATCATCAACATAGACATTCATGTTTAAAAAATAAAACAGATAGGCAAAGGTTTAATTGAAAAGTAATAATATTGCTATTGCTTTGTTTTGACACCTGTTTTTATTAACATCGTCATGTCTCTGTAATCTTGGGTTTGAATTTGAAATACACATTTATAGAATATGTTTTCTTTTTCATACCTCAGTAGTGCAAACCTATAGTACATGATTGTAAATTGCCAATTATCTTTTCCTTTCCTCCTATTTTTGAAAGGGTAAATACGCTCTTAAATAACTATTTACGTACATTGAAAACATTAGAAAAATGTTCAAAGGCCAGTGAAGTTCTTAAAGCACATAACAAAGAAGGATTATTATGAAGTCGATGTTACAAATCAAAGAGAAGCCGTAACAACGCTAGAGGGTCGGCAGTGAATAGTGAATAGTAAGCTAGCCTCATTTGTTCATGGTCAGCGTATCTGGATCACAAACTATTTGTCTACTCTCGCAAAAATTACTATGTGATGTAAAAAATGTATCTAGGCATCAAGTATATAAATAGCTAATTAATAAATTAATTTAGATGGCGTACCTTAAGACACAAAACTAATAATACATCAATAAACACATTTAAAATATTAAATAAAACAGTTTAAATACCAATAAGAAAATTCGAATTTTAAATTCGATTGATTTGGCAACCCATGCCGTAAATAGGGTGAGAGGGAGAACTACTGTGTCGTAACTGCTTATTTCAAGAAATAGCCGTGCAATAAAATAACATGAACAAAATAAATTTATATTATAATATTGTACAACGGAATCGTAATAATTAGCTGAATGTAATTCACCTTGCTTGCGAACTGGCATCACGGTACCTCCCCCTTATATTGTTTTGTAACACTAATAACGTATACTGATAAAAACAAAATGAAACACTAGTTTCACAGCCAACAACGTTATAATTATTTCATTTTATAACAATTTCAATCACAATTAATGTCATTTTTGAGCACTAAACGAAAGTCGCACAACGAAAAACATTAAATACTGCACAAAATAATATGCGACACTGATATTGCTGTGAGGGTCATCTAATACTGTGCCAGATGGGATTGGTCGATTTTCACAATGACGTCAGGGGGTAGTTTCATAGATAATGTAGAATAGGGGTAGTTTCTCGATGTATCGAGAGTTTGAAAGACATCACATTTTATTTTTTACATTAAAGCTTTTATGACGCAGCATATTAGACAAAGGTAGGCACAATTTTAATAACACATTCTGATTCTAAATAATACCAAATCAGTAAGTGTAACTTAATCAGAATGTAGTGTGTACATAATTGCTTCCGAATTTAAAATCTTTGTTTATTTAATTTTAAAGACTAACACCTTTTATTCACATAAAATAAACTAACAGTTACCTAAAGAAAAAAGTCGTTTTGTCGTTCACGAATATGATATCTTTATTACCACTACTCGTACAATAAAACATGAGGTCCTAGCCTGAAAACATTACAGCGATATTCTTTTAAACTGTGGATAAATTTAGATTGCGTCGATAGGAGACGAAAGTGAAAAAACTAGGTATCATGTCTTATCGCCAATATGCAAGAAAAACTTATTTATAATGTTTTGTTTTAGTATCATTATTTTTTTTATTCGACAAAAAATCGACTTATTTAGTCCGATACAAAATGGAATCGATTGTCTTTAAATCGTAAATTCAATAAAACATTAAAAGTTACTTAAAAGATCTTAATTTTCATGTAATTTTTGATTGATTTTTACTATTTTAGTTTATGAGTTTTTCATTTTCATTTATTTTTCAAGCTCTGATTTCTGGTTAAGTTTTTAGTTTCATTACCTTTATAGTCTTTGATATTTTAATCGTATCTCAATCAAAGTTAGGTATCGATATTTATTGCATCTCGATTCTTACACCAATCACCAATCATTCAAATTGACATTTTACGTTTTACGTCGTGTCGTGTGTACTGTACTTTATCTTAAGACCTGGGTGTGCTGGTGCGGAATGTGAACTCTGACTTGACTATGTGTAAACCTTTATCGATATAGCTACGTATTCGTATAGATATTAGTTCAAAATCAAATTGAATCTGTGAGGTGCGAGGCTTAAATATGCCTCTTTTTGGTAAAAAGGATTTTGGTAGAAAATCAAAAAAAGATGGTCGTGAAAACGAAAAACAGCCATCCATTGAAGATAAATATATAGTTAAGGATCTTTTAGGCACAGGTGCCTTTTCTGAAGTACGCTTAATAGAGAGCAAAGAAAATGGACAGATGTTCGCGTGTAAAATTATAGACAAAAAGGCCTTAAAAGGAAAAGAAGATTCCTTGGAGAATGAGATACGTGTTCTGAAAAGATTTAGTGAACAATCGAAAGTTGAAGGCGGAGAGAAAAAGATGTTTTCTCATCCTAACATTGTCCAGCTGTTAGAGACTTATGAGGACAAGAATAAAGTTTATTTGGTCATGGAGTTAGTAACCGGCGGAGAATTGTTTGATAGAATCGTTGAAAAAGGTTCATACACCGAAAAAGATGCTTCCAATCTTATAAGACAGGTTTTGGAGGCTGTTGATTATATGCATTCTCAAGGAGTCGTACATAGAGATCTAAAGCCAGAGAATCTTCTATATTATAGTGCTGATGAAGAAAGTAAAATCATGATAAGTGATTTTGGTTTATCAAAAATTGAGGATTCAGGAATAATGGCTACAGCATGTGGGACTCCGGGATATGTAGCACCAGAGGTTTTGGCACAAAAGCCATATGGTAAAGCTGTTGATGTGTGGAGTATAGGAGTAATATCATACATATTGCTTTGTGGATACCCTCCATTTTATGATGAGAATGATGCAAATTTGTTTGCTCAGATATTGAAGGGCGATTTCGAGTTTGATTCACCTTATTGGGATGATATTAGTGAATCTGCTAAAGACTTCATAAGGCATTTGATGTGTGTGGACGTGGAAAAAAGATACACTTGCAAGTGAGTATCTAATTAAATTTTTGTCATATTGATCACTTTTATAAAGTGCCAGGTATACTTATATATACAAAAGCAGATATTGAACTTAACCTTATTAAACACATTACAAATAATCCCAATTGTAGCATGAATAAAATAAAGAACAAATATAAATCTCATACAACTGGCCGTGTGGATGTTGTATAAGAAAAAAGCTTAGCTATTATTCTAAGGAAAGAAGCCTATAACAAATACTACTGGCAACTAAACTTTTTAGTTAGAAGTAAATAAGATTAGGCTATAAATACATGTTATCTAATATTTGCATAAAAATAATACTAATACTGCCTTGAAATACAAGCCGGGTTTCAATGATACATACAACTTAGAAAACTTTTATTTATAGATGGTATTCTGTATAACATATCTGTACATTCTAAGACATCACAATCAGCATAATTCTTTACATTTTTGATGTAAGGTAAACAAGCTTAAATCACACCAAATACATTTTTAAGTACTTTAGTCATTTTTAACCTTCATTGCTATTAGAGTATTACTTTAATATTTGCTTAAAAAACCAAAGGTCATCTTTGCGAAGCATAGTATGAGACAGGTTTACCAACTTTACAGATTGTCTTAATGGAATAATATAGCAGATTTTGCTTATTAGAGTAGATTCAACATTTGTGCCTATTTTGAACCCTATAAATTGTCCAATAATTTATTAATTTTTCTAAAATCCATTACAGGCAAGCATTGGCTCACCCATGGATCTCTGGTAATGCTGCTAGTAACAAGAATATCCATGGTACTGTATCTGAACAACTCAAGAAGAACTTTGCCAAGTCTCGCTGGAAACAAGCGTACCATGCCACCACAGTCATCCGACAGATGCAGAAGATGATCCTCAGTAGCAGCAGCTCGAGTCGTAATGCCAACCAACAACCCAAACAATAACTGACTTATCGCAACATGGAGATTGATGAATTGAATATTTGCTTGGAAACTAGCTTGGTAATGTACTTAAAATATCTTTATTTCTTCTACATGACACAAATTCGTTATAACTTTCGACTGCGCGCGTTCGTTGCATAGTTAATTGGCCGATTTACTTTAATTGAAGTTCATTGCTTCTGAAGTGATTGCTAGCTGACTTTAAAATTGTGTCATTGCCTTGTATCATTGTGACATGATTTTTGCATTGTTATAAAAAAAATATTTTAAGTAAAATAGTAGATATTGATTGAATTCAATGAAGATTTTTTCAGATAAGGCTAGTCACATAATGACCTTTAATTAGACTTCAAATGAAAAATAATCTTCTAGTAGAATATTGTCTTCAAATTGCTCCAAGATCTGTTTTTACTTACGTATAATTAATCAATGCCGCTGAGTTGATAAAGGTCTATTGAGATAAACTATGACTTTAATGATTCTAACATAACTTGTTTGTTTTACCAAGTATCATTTGACTATGTTTACAACAAAAGAAAATTGAACAACAATATGTTCATATCTAAAAAGGTTTTCTTTACTCGGAATCTCATTTCTTTCTCTATCTTAAATATATATCTGAGAATAAGCAGTGTCATGACATTGTATATTTAATAATTACATATTATATGATACAAACCCCATTATATTAAAATCTTAAGCATTGGTAGATTGTTAACAATTTCAAAGTCTTATTAATAAAATTGTGTAGTTTATTTTAACAAGTGTTACATGACATAAAGATCTACATTTTAATAAATGATATAAATATTAATAATTACTAATAAGTAAATATTGGCTTATTAGGATTGTGATCAGTAGTATATGTAAATTGGAAAACTGATTAACTATTTTCTATATTAACTTTGAACATTCTAAATACAAGTCAAATTATTGCAAAAAAATATGTCTTTCACACAGTAAATCTGTTCAAATATTTACATATATAATTCATTGTTGTGGGTGGTTAATAACTTTGTATGGATAAAAACTAAAATGCTTGCATTGTTATTACGATGAATTTTAATAAATTAGTATAACTTCCTATCTATTCTATGTATATTGTATACCATTATATTCGAGTATAATCTTCATTAATATATAAGAGTTTAAAATTTTATGCGAAATATGCTATGTTTAACTTTAGAGTAAATAAAAACATATATAACTATAGGCTAAAATATATACTGCATAGTTTTAATGCTGATTCCTTCCTATCTTTAAACTCATTTATCTTCTATTTCAAAGGAATTACATAAAACTATATCACATTTTAATTATCCAATAGCACTTGGAAAATTAATATTTTTAACTATAATCATAAACAATTAAATATTTTTGTGGGCCTACTGAATATTTTCCTTAAAACTTAAATTCAAAAATTTAAGATTCATTGCAAACATGAACCTATATTTAATCTTTATGCTGGCAATTTTAGAATAGGGCTTTCGGCAGAGTATCGATTAAAGGTAGGCAACGCATATGCAATTGCATATGTCTATGGGCAACGGTCACTTCGCAATTTCAGCGATTTCTGGTGGCCGCTCGCTCGTTTGCCACCTCATGATATAAGCAAAAAAAGGAAAAATCGATACTCATCGAAATTAAAAGGGTTTAAGTTTCGAAAAACCACTAAGCCTATATTATTTTAAGAGATATGATGACAATCATGACGTATCTGTTTTCAATAGTTTAACAGTAAAAAAAATAGTCACTTCTAAAAAAAGATTAAAAAATGTATGTGTTGCTTGACCATGACAATTTAATATACTGCGTCTCACTTAACCTCTACATTGTAACTTTTCATGTCACATTTAATTCTAATTTGTAATATTTGTTTTTACACATAATTCTAAAAGCATGCAAGTTAAAAAATCTAATCTTTAATACCATAATATTTGACTTTCTTATATTTAGTATTGTGATAAATTATTATTTTACATTCCAGTTTTTTTTATTGTAGGCTATCTATTCATAACAGTTAAAAATGAAATTTAAAAATAATGCATTTAGTCATCAATTCTTTGCCATTGTTTTAATGAATTGATCAGATTCCATAATAATGGAACATTCCACATCAAACATCAACATCTTTACAATGTGTTTATAAAAAATATTTTCCGTCCATCTTACAAGCCATCACTTAAAGGGTACATGACGCAGTATAGAAGTTGACTTTAAAGTAATAATTGCATTGAATTGTTTTATAAATTTATCATATTATAAATACTTCAAATGTGCCAGAAACAAAATCGAGAATTTATAAGATCTGGATAAAAAATATTGAAAATCGATTTATAATTATTTTTTAAATGTTTTTTGCAAGCAAATGAAATAATGGAGGTGGCACTATATGTCCCCGAAAGAAAATCTCAAATTATTTTCTCTAGTCTTATTTCTTGTATAAATTATTTTTGATTTATATGTTTATTACATTTTCTCTCTTCTATAGGTTTTAATTGATAATGGAAATCAAGTTGATTGGAAAATAAAACCAAATTAACATAAATTTTTTAATATATTCGTGACGGAAATCGAAACATTTTAGCCATGTTACTTCTGAAAGTTTGGTTCGCAAACTCATTTTTTGTGTCACAATGGATTATATCTTACACAATTTTTTTGGAATTCTCAAAAACGAAGTTATGATAAAAATATGTAACATTCCATTTGATTTTTTTATGTCTATATTTGACAAAATTCCTTATGCTCATTCTTGTAAGATCTGGTTTAAAAAACTAACATTATTTTTCTACTTGTTTAATTTAGAATTTATTTTTAATATTGGTATTTTAAATATTTATGATGCTGAAAGAAAAATCATAAAAGTCTAAAATATAAAAAATCTTCCAACAATAATTGTATGTGTTGAAAAAAGCTTATTAGAAATTTGCAAATACGAAACGAGATTCTAATATTGTTATTTGATTTTTTTATTATTTTAACTGCATTATGATCATTATATAAAATTATATTTTCTTATGTTTAAAATATTGCATTTTTTTATTTCAGTTTTTAGGTACTGCCTTAAGATTATATTGTATACAAAATAAGCTAATATAGAGCTATAGATTTATATGTCTAATTTCTTATGTTTTAAGCATTAATTTTTTTTATTTGGAAAGATTATAATTATCATAGTTATTCTAGATTAAGTTATAGATAAGATTTTTTTTTGCCAATGCTGACTTGACTGTGCCATTAAAAATGAAATTAGGATTTCCCTGTATACCATCTAATCTATCTGGTCTGCTTTTTGTGTTTATTATATTTACTTAAAATATAATGATTGTCACTAAGTAGCTTCATAAAATTAAAAACAAAATAAAAAAATTGCTTTTTAATTTAAATCTTCGAAATGTTTATTGGAAAATTTACAAAAAAATTGTTTTAAGAAGGTTTTTTTTCGCACAATTGTTGTAATAATTCTACATTACATATGTGATATATTCAATGTATGTTAAAATGCTATTAAAAATGTGCTTTGATAATTGGCCGAACTAATTGTTGCCATATTATCTGATAAAGATTAAAATATACTTAAGAAATATGTATTCCCTTACTTAATATTAACATTTCTAATTAACAATTTTAATACTGGCAGTCGGTCATCAAACTGTCTCTCTTACTCAAGTTACTTAATAATCTTTATGATACAGGTTTTATTTTCTAAGATACTAATATTTTTTTAATTACGATCTGATTTTAAATAGTTGAAATATTTAATACTTTTGGTGATCGGGTTGAGCTCAAAGGAGTGTGATAAAGAGAAATTAATTGTTAAGGGATAATATGTAATTACGCCCTCAAAAATAAAATTAAGAACAACGCTATTTCGATTTTATTTAAGAGTCCTGACAGCTCTATGTTTTTCTATAATTAATTTGAATTTACTTTTTAATAACTGTAGATAAAAAAATAAGTTAGTGTTTTACAGAATAATAGAAAAAAATGATTTAATAACAATTTTTTTTTATGTAACAAACCATATTATAATTCCTATTCATATGAGACAAAGGTTTGTAAAGATTTAATACAATTTTAGACTTAGCTTTTGCTTAATATTAGTACTTACACAATCATTATTGCTCTCTTACACTTAACCCTTTAAGCGCCCGCGATCTGTTTCACCATTGTGCCAAACCATATCATGATCAGTGATAATATTTTGACATTTAACATAAGATTCTCGTACGTTAAGTACATATAATGTTTTATCTTTCTACTATAAAATTGAGTATCTTTATGCAGTGCTAAGCTACAGTGGAAGTTCCTTGTCAGTTCAGATAAAAGTGCGCAATAATATGAGACCCGCAAGGAATGTGATGTCCTCGCTTCTCACCTCTTTTCAGCCAGCAAAGCTTTGCTATAATCATTGTATAAGGTTGTAAGACCTCTTTTGTATACTGTACAGCTGTGACGTCATCGAGTTGGAGCTCATATTATTGTGCACTTGTAGCAGTATGTTTTTCAATTGTATCTTTAGTGTCACTTAATAAAGTAAATATTTTTCGATGGTTATTTAGTATGTGTTTCAAACAGAAAACTTAAGTTTATAACTGAGCACAATAGTTTAAGAGATATTTAAATTTTTACCATGGATTATTTTTAATTATTTGTCACTGGTATCACTTTTTAAATATGTTTGGGTTGTAAATTGGTTTTCTGTACGTATTACATCTTTGGTGACTCGACGGGAACTATACATGCATGTTGCGGACGGGTTCAAGATCTGTATGTTACTGAAATAATAATCTTGTGATCTAGATTTTATACTTCTTGTTCTAAACAATCAAAATTTATTGGTAGATATTAGATGTTAGCTCTATTTTCAATGTCATTGTAAATAAAATGCCAACTTGTTGATGATATCTTTTGTTTTATTTTACCCGACCAACTGTTTCCATCCTGTCAAACACTTCAAATCTGTCAAGTCAGTTAACGTCAAAATGAAAGACACACATAAATACATAGTTTGAAGAATAATAAAACAAATAATTGAGATTATACATATAATATATTAAATTATATTACAATTAAATAACCAATACACCAGGAATGTTTATGTCTGTATCTCCTCGCCCAAGAGAGACAGTTGCTTCAGGAATTGAGATGCGTTCGGTAAAGTCGTCGCTCCGTATATTAACTTTCTAGGTGTGCCGCTACTCGCTTGTTGCTGTAACAAGAAAATTCACTACAGTAGAAAATAAGAAAAATTAAAACAATTTGGATATTTCTAGCAATGGCATTTACTCGCCTGTTCACTTTACAAATAAGTTATAAACATGAAAAATGAGGAATGAATCCTTGCTGTAATACTAAATTAAGAAAAATAGTTAAGAGCCGTTATATTTCTAAGTATTATATTACTTTAGCAAAGTCGAGGAGATTGTGGTACTCGATGTAGTTGCCTCCACCGACGAGGAAGACGACGGCGTCTGTGGGCGGCGGATGTTTGGCGGCCCTTGCACGCGCCGCGGCATCAGTGCGCGCGGCCCGCGGATCCATCCACGCCAACTCCGAGCCCTCACCGCACAGCGCCGCCTCCACAGTGCGACTCACTGGCAATTTCTGTACACAAAAAAGTGAAAGGTTAACTGTTTATATTGATAAACGATCTCTATGAAATTTATCGACCAACTTAGTGCCGAGCGTTAAAAGTTGGTTTGGCGGTCAAAAGGTTAACCGACAATCGTTCATAGCTGTATTAGTCTGTAAGTCTTCTGTCTAATTTTGCACGTCTGTATGAAGAACTTTTTCAGAACTTTCAAAGAACTTTTTTTTAATATTCACTTTGTGACATACTTTTCTTAGAAAATTCTAAATGGTATTAACCCCTCTCTAGTGTCATTTCGTAAACAAAACTCACGTGTTTCTTGACGACCAGATTTTTAACACCTTCCATGACGAAGGAGGATCCCTGCGACACCAGCTTGGAGAACATGGAGACCGTCTTCGTACCGCCGCCCTCATACTGACTAGACATCTTTGTAAAACCTCTGCACACAATTAAAACGCGATTTTGATTAAACAGAACTTTTTTACACATTAGAGATATTATAAGACATGTATAAAGTCGTAATGTGTCGTGTTTTGAGCGAAATTTTTTTTTGCTTATCCGAACTCTACTAAACAGGATTTTCTTAAAATCAACATTGAAATATTTTATTTAAATCATGACAATTTAGGTAGAACATAGTCCTTACATAAGTACAGCATCATTATTATAAAATTTATACTAACTTCCATCTCTTCATATAAGACATTGGCTGTATATCGCAATTGGCCGCTAGTAAAGCCGCTTCAAACTTCTTGTACTCATCATCAGTGATCTGTGGTGAACACAGGTAGTATATGATGAAGAGTCTCATCTTGTCTTCCGCGGTACCAGCGCTCACGTCACTGATCAGGTCCATCACCGCCTTATTCTCCACCCCACTACTCTTACTCATTATCTTCTCTTCTAATTCGAAGAAGGAATCCAAGCGACGGGATTTAATCGCATTCAGTATTGCTGTGAACAAAGCTCGGGTTAATAGACTGGTAAATTTTACTGTGTATTTAAGAATTTATCCCTCTTATATTGAAAAACTGAGACATATTTTCGACAAAAAGACCTACCTGTAGCAATAGTAGTATGCATATCAATAAGCCGTTTCTTCTCCATGAGCTGCGGCAGAGAGTTGACTGCACTGGTTAGCCGCTGTGTGTTATCACTGACCAGACTGAGCGCCAAGTCACTCTCAGCGTCTAAACCCATTGAACTCTTTAATTTCTTCACTTCAGCCTCTGAACTCCTGCAGAGATAAAATGAAAAGGACATAGAAAAACATATTAAACAGTTCATTGGTACTTACTGTAATATAAATAATAGCCTACTTGTTTGAAAGTCATGTATGTATTAACCCAAAACTAAATATGGGTATGTAAACAGTTTAGGCAAAAAAGCAATGGTGTTATGAAACTAAAATAATGACAAACAATTACTGAAATAAGTTAATATTTATTTGAACTACTTAATAATAGTTATAAGAAGACTTCAAGAAAAAGATTAGAAAACACCCAACTAACCTGTATTTATCTAAATCTTCTTGTATAGCCTCAGCTACAGTCGGAAAGGGGCTGCCTTTGTGTTCAGACCATAACGGATCTTTGGAATCAAGGTCACATATCCGAGTCTTAGACATTTGACCTGGTATTGCACTTCCAGAACTTTCTGGTACCACTGCCCTGTAGAAAAGGTTATGCAGGTTTGTACATTTTATGTGGTACAGTCGCAAGAAAATAAAATAAAAATAACAATTGTATACAGTTGTAAGAAAATGTGTACAACAACAATATGATGATGTCACAACAATCAAGAAATATTATTTTGTACATAACATACACAACACCCTGTATAATATGTCTAACCTGTTTAATGATAAATCCAACACATCATGAGCTAGAGCTTGGTACGTCCAAGTGTGATGCAATGGTGTCGCCATATCTAGATTTCTGTCCAATAAAATGAGCATTGGCCGTGTAAAGCTGAATGAACCAGTCTGGCCAGTGTTGCCATGAAAAAGGTTATTTCTGGCATCCCATAGATTCTCTCTCAGCTTCTTGTCTAATTTCTTTGCTACCATTTCAGCCGCATTTGCTTTACTGCATCTTATGATGGGGACATTACCTGCAAGGAAAAATAAAATCTGTGTTTAAATAATTATTTCATATATACAACATTGGAAATACTATTTATTTAAAAATAGTCAGGATTTGTCTTTTAATCATGATGTAAAGTTTTAGCAACTTTTTATTTAGTGAAATGGTGCTATGTGGTGAGGTTTTAGATTGAGGGGCAAACCTAAAATAATTTGTATTTTTTGTACCAATTAATTAGCAAATTCTAAAAATGTCCTATTTAAATTCAGGTAAATTGTAATTAAATTAATTTTTTAACTCAGAAAATAAATACACAATCTTATTTTAGGCTCTTCAAGAGGATTCATGTTGTTTTCAAGCCTTTCTCCTATTTGAGCATTACATGATACTAAAAACTCATTTTGTTAGATAAACAGCAAAAAGATGTTAAGTTTAATGAAAAGACTTACCCAAAGTGACAAATACTGAAAAAAGACTTTCTACAATATCATCCATAATTGCCTCCATTTCTGAATCTTTTGTATCTCCTTTGTTAATTGCTAGAAAATAAAATTGTAAAATCTTTAAACCCACAAACATAAAACTGGATAGATGTATTTTGTGAAGGAGGATATGCGTAAGTACGGGGTTTAATTCAAATATGATAGCTGATAGAGTTGTATGGAGGAGTAGTATGTACTGTACCAACCCTCCAAAGGGATAAGGGCAGGTTGATTACATTTACATTTATATCTCAAAACATTATACATTAAATGTCTTAAAAGATTAAGTAAAACATGATTATCAATAAATATTTCTAAATGAATTTATTTATTTCAAGCTTACCATAATAAGATAAAGGATCAGATTGTTGGTGTTTCATAATAAATAAATCATCTTCTAAGCATATATAATTGAGATATTGGTCATAAACTTTATGAATGCTCAGTGCTGCATTAGATTGTATGGCTGAAGCAGCAAGATCTTCTAGTTTTTGCCTTGTTATTGGTGATATGAAGTTCAGATGATACTGATCATAGATTCCATTATCAAGATCTTGGCAAATTCTACCGAGATTTTCTTCTGATGGTGAACAGAAGTAAACAGCTGGTACTTCTGGTATGGGGTCTCTATCTGAATGTAGTTGACTGCAAATGACAATTGATTTTTGATAGTGTGTAAAGTGAAAACACCAATGTTTTATTCAATTCATTGAAATTCTGTTGAATCTTATAACATAATCATAAATGTTAAAGGTACTTACACATGCAGTGTTACTCCCAATTCCCTAAGTTCTTTTATGGAAATTAAAGGTGAAATAATATCTTGACCAACCCTGTCATAAATCAATACTTTCCAAGTAGGTTCTGTCGCAACAGCTTTTGTCAACGGCTGGTTCAAGTTAAGCATTTGCTTTAAAGCATCTGTGTGCAAGGAAAATATTTAAATTAATAAGAATCACATTATATCTTCACATATTAATGAAATAAATATTTCATTTACTTAATTGCCGTTCTCGTAGAGTGGACATTTTGTCTAACACAGTAAATTACTATGAATATTAAGTCATATATTAATTTAGTACTCCATACAGCTTACTATAAATAAATTAATTTAATGATTTTCATTTAAATTTTTATTATTTTCTCAATCAGTATTGGTATTAAACGTCACTTTGACATTTAAAACGTCGGTGAAAAGACACGTCGGCTTTGTTTCTGGTTCGCATACTTTGATACAAGCCTTTTGGTACAGTACAGACCAAAAAAGTAATATGCGGTTTTTCCAAACAGATTTTTTTATATTTATCAGATGTGAAATATTAAACAGTGAGTTTTACAGTTTCCCTCGTTAAGGCACCATAATAATATCCAATATCCATTCGACACATTTCAAGCTTTTGTAGGTAATTAAAATGTAGACAGCACTGCCACAGTAAATGTTTTGTTGTAATTGATCTTCATTAAGCATATTATATTATTGACCACGGCCAGTCTGAAGAAGAACCATTATATACCAGATCAGATCAGATACTTATTTGGCTTAGGAGCTGGCGGGACATTGTTCATTCGTGGTATCATTATAATATAAAAAACTTTAAATTTTGTTTATGATAGTTTTAATAATGTTATTGAGATGAAGAACACAATAAAAAGTATCTGAGTATGGTTTGACGAAACAACTATGTTTTTGTAAACGTACACAAATAAAAATAAGAACAGAGTGATTACTTGCATTCTGTTAAGTACAATGTTGTAAAGCTTAATGCTGATTGCAACTCCCTTTTGTTCAGTCAGCGCTTGCAACTAGATAGAAAAATCAGTTCAATTTCATTTGCGCTGCAATTTCTATTACTATGGATCTTCAATAAAGGTTTTTTTTATAGAAATTGTAAAATCAAACAATTTTTACGTATTCTTACGTAATATATGTTTTGTTAATCACGCTATGAAAATCGCTAACGAGAAACTTACAAATAACTACCGACTCCCGCACACATTAGCAAAAGTACGGTTAAAGTCGGTCCAGCCGTTTAGCAAAGACATACAAATAGACAGAAATTTTTACAATGGTATTTTCATTATAAGCAAAGCATCTTATTTTCCAAATGTGTTTCTAGATATTACATACAGACACACATATTAGTTACATAGATTAAAATAATTTTTGTTTGTAAAAAACATGTGTTCTGTTGAGTTATTTTATTCCACGTTGTTATTGAATTGAAAAAGCCAGTCTTCAGGACTGAAAAATAAAGTTGCTCGTATACCACCTTATAATATACAAAAAAAAATTAACATCTGTTATGATCTTAATTATGAACTGATTTTATCTATTAGCCCTCATCAGACCTGTCTATTGTAGAAGGCACAGCAGTCTCCGAGCGTCTGTGAACTTTAATTGAAAAATTCAATTCGTGATAAAATCAGGGCTCAATTGAAATGCTGATTCAACAGTTTAAATAAATGTAATTTTTACTACAAGAAAACTTGATATCGAGACTCAAATTACATATAAATAAAATTCAAAGACTAGTTGTCTGTAATGATTTTTTCTACGTGGGGACAACTTAACGACGAATAGGTGAGGCAAGTTTAAATCAACTTTTAGTATCGACATCAAATTCAGAAAAAAATTTCTCACGTGAGCTCCAGTTTGCGAACTATTTTACAAGCGTTAATAATAGAAATTAGTTATTTTTAATTTGCATAAGTAAATTGTAAAGTTACATAATAATATGATAGTGTTGTATACGTAAGATACGACGAACATTTTACCATTATACTTATTGAAATATATATTCGATCTTTGAGTGGGATCGGAATTTTTTTCCTAAAATACTTGTATGCAACGGAATACGAAAATTGTTCCATCGCCGTCTTTAAATAAGATTATGTTCATGTTTTTCGATTGTGATGTTTAAATTTGAAATAGATTAAAAATGTTAATATAATAACCATTTTATTTATATATGTTAAATATAAATAAAAATGGTTCAAGATCGATTATTGACTTCGACTTAGTCGCATTTATCTGTCAGTGCAATAGAGTTCAACGGGAGAAAGCCGTTCTTAGAGGCCGGTAGGCGCGAAGTCGGGTGGTGGCAGCTGCTAGCGGCCGGCAGCAGGCCGCTAGCGGCGCGTTGGCGCAGTGCGCGCACGATGGTGAAAGGTGCTATATCAATTCTTCGGCGCTCGGACTTTGCGCGCCTCGTCATGCCATACGCGCGAATTATACTTTTTTGTGCCATATTTGTATACGGTTAGTTAAACAATTTTTATTTATATATAATTTAAGCAACATAAATAATCGTTTGAAATGTGATTTTTGTTATTTTGAGTTATTTAAACATGTATAATCTTATGCAAGCGATTCAACTATACAACCGTTTAGTGTATTTTTTCCTTTAACTGTTCCACTTGTAAGATAACGTAACTGTTTACACGAATGAGAGTGAAAGCTTTAGATTTACTTTTATTAGGTGTAGCGAAACTGGATATAGCGGAAGTCAACGCTATATTTGGTAAGGCTGTTTAGGAAACAATTGTTGTCGTTTGCTCACATAACATATCTAAGTTTAGAAAGTGAATATCGAACTATACGAACGGTCTGTCTGTGTGTAGACACCTACTAATTGAATTCGTCGAGCACGTCCTTTCTTTCACTTGACATTGAGACGTGACCGGTTGTATGATGGGGGATATTGACATTTAGTGGTTTGCTTGAGTGCCTCAAATTATATAATAATTTTACCCCCAATAATACATTGATACGGATGTAGTCGAATGGCATACTTCCTTGATTGCATATTAACACGCATGCTGTTACAAGATAATGTACCGCAGACTATTCACGTTTATGCTAAAAAAACAAAAAAAACTTAAGGAAACTTAATAACCAGTTAACGGAGTGTGCACAGACAAGCTTTACAAATAACTTGAGTTAATACATTAGATTCAATTGAATTACTTATTTTTAACAACAATTATTAAAATTACATTTAAGGAATGTATTTAATAATGTCATAAAATTTTCACACGAAACTTTTCATTACATTATTCGATAACTAATTTCATACCTATATCTTTAAAATACTAACTACTAAGAGACCTTTACCTACAAGTCCATAGATAACTAAATGATCTGTCTACGTACTTAACTAGACTGAATTCGTATTAACCCACGCTTGGAGTCTCTTGATCTTGCGATCAAACAGGTGCTAAACGCAGGAGCTTTTCCTGTCATCAAGTGCAGTAAAAAAAATTAAGATTTCTGATTGGTTATCGTCTATGGTTTATTGTTTAATTACATTTCGATAATAATGGCTCCTTGGCCTTTTTAAATGAACCTTAAGTCATCGCAAGGAATTCCTAATTAAAAAAAAAAAAATTACAATTATTTAATTTCGATAGAAAATTGGTCTACCATTTGTAAATCTTGAGATTATTATTACGATTGAAAAGGTGAACTTGTCCGCTGATTGATTCGGTAAATTCTTTTGATATACGTAAGAAAAATAAAGGGTAAAATAATAACACTTTATGAAACTTTTAGAATTTTTATAACGAATTTCTCTTATTAATGTTCTCGAAGCAATGAAGTTATTTGTTCGCTCGCTTAAGCTTGTCAACTTTAAGACGACAAATTACATGTCTACAACATTACTCGGATCACGAGGGATATTTAATTTTTCCCACAATTTATTGCGATAAAATGGTTTCTATTGTAACGGTTTTATAAATTATCTTTGGAAACTGTTTGACTATAACATAACAAATTTAATTTGAAGTCGATCAGGGACAAAATGAACCGGGAATCATTTCAAATCCAAACAACATGTTTAATTTTTTGAAGTGTATACACATAGGTTTCTATTTATATTCTATCTTCAATATCTTTATAGTAGCAAAGGTTTTCTTATTAATTAAAGCCTATCAATATTCATAACAATAACTTAATGTATTTGTCGCAATTTGATTTAAAAAAAAATTATAACAGAGTAGAATATAAGCGCTCTGTGTAAAGATAAAACATTAAAAGCATTCAAAAACATTTTGTCGATTTAATACGTGGAATTGTCAAACAGGTATGTTAATGGCTGAGTCAACTCACTAGGCTCGTATGTTAACGAGTTACGAGAAGCGTAATGAGAAAATTAAGTTTTTAGATGTAAATACTTCGATAGCAGTCATATATTTTATTTTAACTATCTTATAATCGTGTTTGTGCATTGAAATTGCATCATTTATAAAACGCTTGATCAAATTTAAATTTATGATTATAACTTAATATGATAATGGCTATAACTTAGATTAAATTTTGAATTTAAAACAGAGCGGTGTGTGATATTGATATTTCAAATCGACGTCGATGTTTTTTAAAATTTCGTACAACATTTTTTAAACCATGTTATATTAACGACTTACAATTTACTAGGCTAGGGATAGCAATATCAATTATTGGCCATTGAAAAACCTTCAAATCTGAAACAGTTGTGCACTGCAAGGCATTTCACTTATATATCTCCAGTTACAAAGTGGAGTTATTCATATTAATTGTAAGGTAATTATTATAAAAATGTGCCTAAATGACATAGGTACATATTATATCAATACACCACGTAGTGAGAAATAAAGAGTAAATTAGTTAGTACATTTTAATTAATTTACTGAAGTTTGCAATCGTTTATTAAGATATCTATATGACTTTAATTTGCTAGAAGTTAGAACGTAACTTTGCGCTTGTAATTAATTTAATAAATAGTTAATTGTAACATTTCGTTCTAATTTGTTTTCGTAAAGTTTTACTCTCAAGTACAATCATTTCGTAGACAGTTTGAAAATTTAAATTAAATTTGATTACAGTAACATGAATCTTAATTTATGTTTCAAGTAGTTACATTAAAATTATTAATTTGGTTATGTTTCAAATGATTAAAAACTAGCTGTCGCCCGCGACTCCATTCACGTAGAATTAAAAAAAAAAACTTTATAAGTAGCCTATGTGTTCTTCCAGACTATGTTCTACATGAGGGCCAAATTTCATCAAAATTCATTCAGCTATTCTGGAGATACTTTCAATGTTTGATTGAAGGTATCCATCCATCCATCCATATAAACTTTTGCATTTATAATGTTAGTAAGACATAAGATGTAAGATGTATAGTAATCTGTGTGGAAAAGTAATTCAAAAATAAGTTATTTACTTGTTTATTTTCAGTAAATTGTCAGAAGGACAAAGAAGAGGACTTTGTATGTCCAGAAGGAACACAAGGAAATGGAAATTTTGCAGACCCTGCGACGTGTAGACGTTTTTATCAGGTACTATTTACAAACTTTACTTTGCAGGCATGGTAATTACTTCAAATGACAATTGTAGTACTAATGTATTTAAAATGTTTAGTACTCCGACATTGTAACCGACAAAGTTATATGATCCGGTGGAATAAGTTTATTAGCTCAATAGCGCCCCCTGTCAATAACAAAAAAAATGTCACAAAATCCTTGTCGCACTAAATTTTTTTTATCGTGTTTTTTTCTTTTTTGTTATTTTCTATGTCTATATAGATTTCACATATTTTGTGATAAAACTCACCGCGTGACAACGCCTCTTTCACCGGTACATATAAGTTTGTCGTTGTGTTCGTCCTTAACCTATTTCTCAGAGACGGACTCGTCTGTCACCAATTGCTAAAAACTCTGCAATAGGTCACATTGCAAAAAAGTTAAAGAGTAACTCTGTAAATGCGTAGTTACAATCTAGCTGATATATTTCGTAATACTGAATTATGTATGACTAAGTTTGACGTTCATTTACTATTTGTCAGAGTAAACGGCTCGGAGTAAATGCGATTTTATCATTGGTCGAGTTGAACTCGGGTCATCGTGATTAAAGGATACTCTGTACGTCAGATGATCGTGACTAATGGTGCAGGGTTACCTTTGTCGCATATTCATTCAATTTATTGAATACCCGCGGAATACATTAGGCGTTTAGGTCTGACAATGCCAATCGACTTTTTCAAAGACATTTTGTTCCGATATCTTGTTTAAAACTGAAAACGTATTTAGTATACCTTAGTATATTGTTAACAAAAAGACAAGAAAAAATATAGCGGTCGCACGCGACTTTGCGCGGAATAAATAACTTAATTAGTAGCCTATGTGTTCTTCTAGACTATGTTCTACATCTACGCCAAATTCCAGCGAGATCCATGCAGCCGTTCTGGAGATACCTTCAAACAACAATCCATCTAAACATTCGGATTTATAATATTAGTAAGTTAGTAAGATTCTAATATTGAACAGATGACTCATGCGTTTTTTTTTAAATTAAAAAAGACCTCTTTAAAGTTATAAACACTAATAGACTAAAATTTTGGTTGAATCATAGTGATTTCAGAGTAATTCCTAGTTTCTATTCATAATTCTAATTTCACATTCTTATGGGCGAGAATGGCGGCTTGGTCTCCTTCGTAGAGAAATTAAACTCTAAATTATTAATTAAACCTACCTTCGTGTGTAAACAAGCGTTAAACCGTAACATAACTTAGCAGATTTATTAAGAATAGCTAGAAAGCACCGTAATTTTTCTTATGCGGAAAAAACGCGACAGAGGAAAGAAAATTCTTCTATTTTACTTTAATCTGTTGTCAAAAAGACCACGAAAATATTTAATTGAATAATATAAGTATTATAATGCTGATAAATTAACTTTTTAGTAACTCTTCAATATTGTAAGTTTCATAAAACCCGGCCAATTTCACTTTTTATAAACATTACCAATTTTTATTTTTTTAAACATTATTATTTTTTATGTATTTAATGTGTAAAATCAAATTAATAGTTCTACATTTTCTCGTAATAAAACAGACATTTAGGATTAATTAAGAAGAAACGAGTTCAAGGAGAATTTGAATAATAGGAATTTTCATATAATTACAATCAAGGAAGCATTTTTGCATATTAATATGTTTAACACACATAACTAGTTATGGGCAATGCAGGTCGACCAGATTTTAAATTGGTAAATAATATTTGAACATTTAAGCTCATAAAATGTACTCTTGATAACGATCGTTAAAGATTTTTTTATCTTGTTATAATATTACATAATATGAAATTTTTGGGTGTAGCCCTCTCCTAAAGATCGCCACGTAATAACAATACTGAAGAAGTAAAATTTTACGTTAAAATCTTGCTAATGCATTGACTGGGTCAGCAATAATAGACAAAAGTTACAAATATCTCGTAAAAATAAACCTTTGCGTCAACTTTAACTACGGCTCCACATTTTTGCCACGAAACTTCGCGAACAGGCGTGAACCTGAATGTAGATGGTGCGGGATTCGCGGGTGTTCACGAACGAATGTGAACATCCCGCGAATGTGGATAGCATGACTTGTACCTTGAAATCACACCACTAGTGTGGTGCCACCATAATATGGATTGTACTGTTCGTTTAGGTAATTTTAAAAATGTATTATTTGAGCGTATGTTTTTATAACGGAGATCAGTAATAATTGACTTCGCACTATAACATTCACGTTGATAAACGTGTTGTCAAATGCTCGTGTGATGCATTGGCATTGACGATGCAATCACTTGAAATGTTGTGAGTCATATATTTTTATAAATTCCTTTGTCTTGTTAATACTTTGTATGAAGAAATAAAAGGATATTTTAGATATTTTGTATAGGCAATTTACACTGATACTTATACGAAAATATTCCAAGGTGGCAATAATTAAAATTCTTTAGTTATTTATTAATTATAAATGTTAATGACAATCAATAAGAACGGGAAATCTTATACAAATATGCCAATATACCAAATATACAATATTTATTACCAATCTTAAAGGTACCGAAAACGACAAGCTAACTAAGCTTGCTCATGTGTGAAAAGCGAGCGTATAAACGCTAAGAAACCACAGACATAATACCAAGAAATATTATGAGTATTTTCTTATCCTTGAATTGAGCAAACAACACGAGATATAATATACATTTTCTTTCTTTATATATACAAAGGTCGCCAAAGTAAGGCTTTATTAGCTTCTGACCTTATAAATAAAATTATGTTTCAACATTTTTTATTGGTTAATAATAACGATGCCATAGACGTATAAACATATAGAAAGTCTATGTTTATTAAATTAGTAACAACCTCTAACTAAACGAAATCTTCATGTTATTTTATAGTACTTTTTATTTCCATAAATTTATGAAAAAGCGATTATTTCTAAGTGAGATGTTTTATGAAAATCCAATCTTGGACGGTCCAGATCGAGAATAATTTTCTCGGAACGATTCTCACAATTAATGTCAATTTTCGTAATTTATATCAGCGTTAAAGGATTCCATTTGGGATGGTTTTTATAGCTCTGGATCCTTCTCGGCCGGTAATAAATGAATGAGTTATGGAGATCAACTTTAACAACTTATATTTAAATCATTCAGGCGTGAATGTATTCAGATCGATAAATTAATTTTCAATCATAGTCTATATTTTAGTTCAATTACTGACCAAGAAGTTAAGAACGACATTCCATTTCCTTTTTTATATCTCTTGCTTTTATCGATGTCCAATATTCTGTGATAGTCAAGATGTAGCCTGCACATATCTGCGAATAAAATTCAAATACATGAGTGATGTTAACCAACCCTCACTTGGTCAGCGTGGTTGATAATGGCCTAGTCACAGGGTATGCTCTGAGCCCCATAGTAAATAGTGAGCTGATGATGATTCTGTGATAGGCACTTGTTGTAGTATACTTTTTAAATAGTAAAAGTATCATGATATGGGCTTTGTTAACATTATTCAAACGGTAAACTCATAGGATTTTTGCCTATACTAATGTGTCTGTACGTTGCAGTAGAGTTCTGATATTATTTCGTATAATAGTCGTGGTGATACGTACCCAATGTCCATGTATAGAGTCAGTTTGACGGATGTTTACGGTTTCCCTTCTATTTTATATCACGCAACTGACTTAAGGCTATGTATGTTTTAGAGTCTTAATGATTTAGTACATATATTACGACATACAAAATTTTAGTTACAAACTTTTTATATTACATTAAAAAAATGTTGTATTAGGAAGATACTCTTAGTTAATTATAATTATGATTTGTCGAGTACAATGTGCAGACCTCTAGATGTTTTTAATTTTTCTTAGCATTGTGCTAGTAAACAATGCGAACGCCTTAATTGTTATGTGTATATTCTGACTGTCAACGAACAAAGTGAGGTTTAAACAAAGATCAGTAAGGTCAGGACTAGAAACGTAGTTTTTCAACCGTCTACTCTAACCTTGTCGTGGCACAATTCTATTAGTGTTAAAAAATATTATTCTGTACCGTAAAGTTTTTTTAAAGTTCTTATTAAGGTACTAAGAAGTAAATAATACATATTTAACTGTTTAAAAAAACTTGTGGCTTTAAAACATACAGATGATCTAAGCTTAAGATCATAGTTATACTTATTTTGTACGAAACTTTTGCTTCTGTTGAATTATAGAGAAATTATACTATGCTAAAATTAATTTAGAAAGACACTTCTATGTAGTTTATAAGATTATTTTATAGAGTTTGAATTTATAGACATACCAATGTATATTTGTGAATTAATTAGATATGTAAATTATATTATCCATTATAATGTTGGTCTGATGTGCCTTTGTTCCAGTTAATCAGGGTATCGTCCCTTCCATTCATATTTGATTTAACCGACTTATTGTTTCTCAGTGTGTCGACGGGTACCCGTATTTGAATAGATGTCCCTCGGGGCTCTACTTCGACGATATTAGCAAGTATTGTACATTTAAAGCCGAAGCACGATGCGGTCCCATTTCCACGAGTGAGTACGATTCCAAGTCTATTAATTGAACGTCTCCTACACACGTTCCGCTCACTGAAGTAAGTAAAATCGGATTATGTGTCGGTGCCCGTATGGAAAGGGAACTTAGCACGTTGCGGGAATACTTAAAAGCATTAAACATTCATTCTCCGAATACAATATGCTCCCACAATGCTACATTGTGTTTAACATTTCCATGCTGATGTATTAAACCTTTTTGATACTTATTTTTGTTAAATAATTCTCTTTTAGAATTTTATATCTCACATTATCTGCTGCTATAATATTCAATTACTTTACTCCTTATTAGTTGTATTTTTTCACTGAAATATTAAAAATAAAATGAACTTTTATTTTTTACCGTATTAACTTTTGCTTTATATTTTAGCTCCAGCTCCAATAACAGAGGCTCCGTTAGATTTGGCGACGAAATGTGATCTGTCACAATGTGAACTGCCGTATTGTTTCTGCTCAAAAGATGGCACCTTGATCCCCGGCGGTTTGGAGCCTGATGATGTAAGTCTATTAAACTGCATTATAAATTATGAAAATATTACCTATATACTGTCCAGGATATTTAATTTCTAGCCACTTCGGCGAAATGTTATTTGACGCTCGCAATCCTTAGAAAGCTCTTAAAGTTTTCAATACTATTTTATATCCTACTTGTGAGGCGAATTTAATATCTAATACAGCATATATTTTCTATAATTCCTAGAATTGGGACTTAATATTTTCACACCGACTCGGATACTAAACACATTTATCAATTATGATTTCGCGGCTAACGTTGACTTTCTAAAGTCATTAAGCAATGATTTACTATGCGAGTCCACATGCAAAAGTAATCGTTTCCTTTCTATATAATGTATCGACAAACATTGTTTCTATTTACAGACGCCGCAAATAATTATGCTGACTTTCGACGGTGCTGTCAATTTGAATAACTATGAATTGTATAAGAAAGTGTTCAGTGGAAAGATAAAGAATCCGAATGGTTGCCCGATCCGAGGAACGTTCTTCCTTTCACACGAATACAGGTAATTGGTATTAATATTTCTGCTATTCTGCAATAAGTATCGAATGTTGAGTACCTTACTATGAACCCTCGTATTTCTAAGTGTTTTCTTGACTTTGTATTTGTTATAAAAGTTTCCGTTTGAGGTTCCTTTATTGGTATACTGGAATTGTGTGCAAATGTGCTTTAAAAGAAACTGAAAAAACATTTTTTTGAAGAAATTATTTATACTATAATAAAAACCCAAATGTCGCGCCCAAAGTGGGTTACGTAAAATTTTAAAGTATTTTATAATTATAAAATCTTCTAAAAGTTTGAAGAAATTTTATCCGTTCATCCCGAGATGACTAGAAACAATAGAGTTTATAATAGTAATCAGTATCTAGGAATCTCATTGCACAGAACACGTTTATGCAAAACGTGCAAACATCTTCGGCCGATGTACGAATGGCGAGCTTTTATGTGCGGAATTAATGCAAAACAACTTGAAATTCTGCACGACTGCGTACGTGAGTCTCGTGTCCGTGAAACCTCACGGTCAATGTCCACCTCTCATCTATTAAAATGTATAATGAATAGAGTAGAATTCTATGGAAATTAGAAAATATAACGTTTTTATCGAAACAGTTTTATCTTTATAAATCTGTAATAACAGACTTATTAAAAACAGACAGGTTTGTTTCATCAACACGTTTAAACTTTTCAAAATAAATCCATAGCCACTATATGACATTGTCAGCCAGTGACATGCTTTACTATAATAACTCATTTGATCGAATTTGACTATACATCATTTGTTTTGAAAAAAAAGGTGTTTATTGTAGATAAAAGTTATGTTTTTAGTGGATACATTTAAATATCTTTTGATTACACTGGAATTTTCTTAGTAGATTCTGATTAAATGTAAAGAACATTCTACTCTTTTGTTGCAAACGACTTCGCCCACGTGAAATTAAAAATTATGGTAGTATAGTCGATGTCACTTGAATGGAGTCAATTCAAAAACAAAATCTCTCATCTTTATAATATTCGTATAGTTTCTTTTAAAATATTGCTAGTTATAAAAAAGAAATAAAATTAAGTGAGAGTTACATAATTTAATTATTAATAAGACAAATTATCATTGTAATGTTTACGTAAAACTTGCATAAATATAAGCAAACAGACCGTTATTATAGTTATATAACGTAAGAAATATTACTGCCGAGATACTGGTAAAACAAACAGATTTTCTTTTTTTATAAGAGAATATAGACAACATGTTACGGGTAGTGGAAACACATTTGTTGTAATACAAATAATGTTTGTGTTAATTAATGAAATTACTGACTAGTACGGGTAGCCGCGGTTTTAGCTAAACTAGCGCCATGGGGGAGTTTTCTACGGCGCCTTCTTTTTACCCTTCTTGTATTTTTTTAGGTGGGGGAGGGGGTACAGTATTATGTGAGACTGTAATTCACAGACCTGTGTCGCCCAACCGCGCCCTACCTTAACGCCGACCTGACGGTATATTTAAATTACGACTGTGTTTGTTTAATTTGATTTGTTTTACATTTTCAGTAATTATGCCATGGTGCAGTCGCTCGCCCATGACGGTCATGAGGTATGGGTTTTTAATTATTACCAGTGTATGTTCATTTTAAATTAAAACAAGCAATTACTTAAGTTGTTACAGGTGATGTGGTAAATAACGATTCATTTTGTTAAATAATATATTTTAAATACCTTACTATGATCCTAAATTAAACTTTGCTTTAACACCATAGTTTCTCCGAAATATTAGACTGCGGTCGGTGTTTGCACTTTTATAATAGTTAACATAGTATCTTGTTTAAAACACTCTTCAGTCTTGTAAAGACGTTTCAAAGTTAATTAAAATATCAATAAGATGTAATGAATGTTATGATTGTCAGATCGCTACCGGCACAATATCTCAGCAACAAGGCCTCCAAGACAAAGGGTACGAGGAATGGGCCGGTGAGATGATAGGAATGCGGGAAATACTCAAGAAATTCGCCAACGTATCCCGCTCGGAAATCGTCGGGGCCAGAGCGCCATTCCTAAAGCCCGGCAGAAATACGCAATTTAAGGTAAGTCGATTAAGAAATAGTGGTATTGCCCATCACGGTGAACCGGTTCGTCGCATGCAGCAGTTAAACACTGCCTGACATTTTGTATATTTAAGATAATTTTATAGTTTAAAGTAAATATGTTATAGTAATTAGAAGACAATATTGTATTACAATAACAAAGTGCAATAAAAGCAATAAACATTAATGATATTTTTTTTGCTTTTTGCGAATCTACAGGATGTTTTAAAATGTGCACTCGCCTGCACCGAAATTGAGTACATTTGGATTATTTATTGTATTAATAAAACGGGTAAATAACTCGTTACGTATATGTTGAAAATTTAAACACAGCTTTACCATTATGAAATACACGAACAGATGCAATGTAAACAGCTGCGAGTGTTCTACGGCGATTGCTTCCGGCGGCGTCAGAATTATTCGGAAATTGAATTGTTCATTTGGATACCGGCATTATGCTATCCAAAGTATACGATTTTATGTTTTTTGTTGTGTTGCAAATGAGTAATCGGTTTACCTATTAAGTGACCACTATCCGTCAGCATCCAGAACAGATATCTGTACTCAATTTGTCTGATTGACATAAGGGGAACGATTTTCGGGGAGGTTTACATTCAATTGTAGCACCCTGTAGTGTAAACTTTTTTACCGAGTTCTACATTAGTATTTTTCGTCATTGTAATAATCAATGAGGTTTATTTTTTTCCAATAAAAGTGCAGATTTTCGTATTAAAAAGTATCTATATGTTTTTTCTCAGGTTCTTGAAGATTTCGGATACATCTACGACAGTTCAGTTGGTGTACCACCACTTCCAATACCAGTTTGGCCTTACACTTTGGATTACAAGATACCTCATGAGTGTAAATCAGGCACATGCCCAACTAAGTCATTCCCCGGTAAGATTTACTAGTGAAATAAAAAAAAATACGTTATAATTTCTTATAAAAGTAATTTGTCAAAGAACCTTGGAATTTTCCTAATTAACTACTGGTAAGTTACTTCGATATTCTAGGAATTATTGAGACCCCTCGGGATGTGTATGTGAGCGATATCAGAAAATAAGTTAATAAAGTTGTTATCTGAGTAGGTCTGTGGGAGGTGCCCTTCAACGCGCATTACGTCGAGTCCTTTGAGGGTGGACATTGCCCCTACTTGGATCAATGTGTTCTTCACAACCACGATTCAGACGAGGTAATATATTTTTCATTATAATGTGTAACATTAGATAAGAGATCGGAAACTGGTATATTTTGTTATAGTAAGATGAAATTTTACTTTAAATGTAATATGATTGTAAAACATTAGTGTAACGACTGTCACCATTTGGTCAAAATATTTCACTAAAACACATTTTTGATTCGAAAGCTGACCCAAAAATACTTTAATTATGACTCAAAGCACTTAAAAAAATTACGTATTGTGAAGTAATATCGACGGGTCTCAAATTAATATTAAGCTTATCATTAATATATTTTCTGACTACTTTATTATATACGCTATTGTAAATGTATCTATAATTCCTAGATCAGAGCTGACACGATATTACTACACTAATGTCCTCTATGTTCGTCCCGAATTCCTAATTATTCTAAGTGACGTATGAATTTGGCTCTTTGTTCTTCTAATATGCCCTATTTGCTTCATTTAACGTCACCGTAATATACCTTTATTCCCAAATTAATGAGAAAATATCACAGGACCCGACATTCCTGTCAATATAGTAGGTATCCTTTACAATTTTTTGTGATTCATTATAAGACTCTATTTACAGAAAAGTGCAATCATTTAAATGACATATTTTGTAAATTAAATAATCAAAATTTATTAGATTACTATTGCAACCATTTGTTTAAAAAGTAAAAATCTCAGTAGCTTATTAACCTAATTGTAACATCAGATTCAATGAAAAAAGCAGCTGGAATCATCATTATATTTAGTATAAAAGTATACTAGCTTTTATATCCTTATATATAGGTGCTAGAATGGCTTCAAGAGGATTTCAACCGGTACTACGAGCAGAACCGGGCGCCTTACATGATGCCGTTCCACACCAACTGGTTCCAGATCAAAGAACTCGAGCAAGGCCTGCACAAGTTCCTTCGTTGGGCTGCTGACTTGTATGTATACATTTAACTACATGGATCGCACCGAAACATTTATAAAAAATATGTTGTTATCGCAGTTTTTCAAACACAATGAGCGAGATAAAATTATGTTATCTCTGAGTAATTTCTCTCTATTTTTTCTCAGAAACGATGTGTGGTTTGTTACCGTTACCCAAGCGTTGACATGGATCACGGAACCTAAACCAGTAAAGGCGCTGAACAACTACGAAGCTTGGAGATGTGACAACAGAGATCTGCCTGGGAAACCTTGCAATCTTTCCAACAAATGTGCTCTCTCTTTCAAACATCCTGATACTAATTTCACCGATACGAGATACATGGAAACTTGCAGCGAGTGTCCGAACCAGTAAGTAGTACTTTCAAAATAAAATAAGGCATTGTCAATCATCATCATCGTGGAATCTATTTTTGTAGTTACCTCAGAAAACTACAAAATATACATTGCTTTTAGGGGAAAGATTGGGTTATGTCAGATTTTTAACCATCAGCCTCAAGTGCGATGCAATGTTGCCATTCCTTCCAGTGAAATAACTCCTCAACGATCAGTTTTTATGGACTGCGGTGGCAAGCAACAGGCACCTAGTGTTAAGTGTCCATTTCCCATAGTAATCTGTAACAAGAAAGAAGTTTTAAGGAAGAGAAGAGGAGAAACAGAAAAACTATACACAATTATCCTGTCCTTTTGTTTATGGTCTTTAAATAACATGTCGCATATTATTTTTTAGGTATCCATGGCTGGGAGATTCCGGCGGTACTGGTATTTCTGGTAAAGATAATTACATACCGGACAATTTAAAGAGAAAATAGTATAAATATATTACTTGAAGACTTTGTAGGATTTAGTATAATCTATTCAGTATACTGTTTAAAATAAGTTTTTTGCGTTTATAATTAAAAAAAAACGTAAAAAATTATTGTAAAATAGTTTTTAATTGTGTCGAAGTGACAATGGTTGTGCAGCATTAGAATCTCAATGGATTATTCATTTTTGTACATAATATACAAGTTTATATAAAATTATATTATGTTTATAATTAATAATTTGTATGTACTTAATATAAGTATATCTTATTGTTATATTTTTACATACGAGGTTATGAAATAACAGACTATGTTATCAATTTATAAAATTTCTTTATAATAATATTTAGTAGAAGGATCGTAATTAATTTGTTATTTACAAAAGAGTGGTGCTATACATTTTTATTTAAACATAATTTTTAATACTTTAAATGTAGTTCAGTTCAAAAATGAGTTAAAAATTACGTTGTCGCTAACGAATGTTTGACGTTTTTATTAAAATTGGCTTAACGTATTTTTTAGTTTGAATATTTTAATGTTATTACGACAATTATATCGCAAACTCGATTGACATGAAATATGTCATATTGTTTGAGTTCAAAAAAATATTTTATCGTCAATTTCAATTGCCGATCGACAAAAAAATTGTTGTGTATTTCTGTTTTTAAAAGATAATGAAATGGTAATATGTTTTTGTTCACGTGTTTCGCCAGTGTAAACCCACGGTTATAGATTACATAAACGTTTCTGGTCATAGTTTTGCTCATTATTTACTTCAATCTACAATAGTTTTTGTACACATACACATTTTTGTTTTGTTAATATTTTGTAAAGGCAATATTTTTTTACTATTGTTAGTTGTTTTTTATATTGACATGAATTTGATTTTGCTGAATAAAATAATTTACATCGATATATTGTGGTTATTATTTGAAATATCTTCAACATTGTTTTCGATTTCCTTTTTCATTATACAAAAGCCTTTTAATATTTCTAGTGAAATATGGCAGTTAAAATTTATAATTGGCTTTTCATGTTAACAATTTCTGTAAAATGTGTTACTCTTTGACAATTGTTTTGACTTTCAAATATTTCTTTAAACTAGACGTTGCCCGCGAGTCCGGCCGCGCGGAACAATAAAAATTTATTAGTAGCCTATAAGTACTTCAAGGCTATGTTCTATATCTATGCGAATTTTCAGCGAGATCGATGCAGGCGTTCTGGAGATAACTTCTAACCAACATCCATCTATCCATCTAATCTAAACGTTCGTATTTATAATATTAGTAAGATTACTTCATGTTAACACAATACGAATGGATTGGAAATAAAAATTACTGTATATATATTTTAAGGCGTTATATTGCAAATATTCGTGTCAAGCGCGCGCGCGCGGTATGCCTCCCGTCGAATATACGACGTTGAACAATTTTCTATGTGAATAATTCATGTCGCGGTGTTCGCTCTAGCTTTTAGCATGTCACTATGTAACTGATTCTATTTTTACTTGCCTTCATAAAAATGGATTTATTTACCAGTATATATGAAATATATTTCTGTTTATAGCGCCCAAGCGACACTTTCATCAATTGAGTTAAACGAAGTTATTTGACTTTGTAACCGCTATCTAAAGTAGTGGCGTATGTGGTGTTTATTAATGAAGTTAACGAGAAAATTAAATAACCAAAAGTCTAGCCAACTGACACTAATAAGTCGCAACATTCACGAACATTCATAATACCGAAGTCCTTTTAGACTGTCAATTGTTTGGGAGAATCTGTGTTAAAAGAGACAGTGACGCATTGCGTTCCGTACTATGCAATACTAGTGGAATGTTTGGGATATCGTGAAGAGGCAATGTCGTAGTTGCATGCCAATTGCCGCGATATTGCCAATATATTGATACAATACTACGATACATGTATGTAATATGGAAGAATGAATAGAGAATGCATAATGCGATCCATATCGCTAAGAACAGCAGAGAATAGAGAAAAATGTGAGATGGCCAAAAAGAGGTCGTGACCCTTAGGAATTAGGAAAAAAAGAGGGAAAAGATAGAGATCATAGACAACGTATCTACATTAGCATCTTGTCCTTTATTAATGTAAACAAGCGTTAGTATATAATACTAATATTATAAATGAGAATGTTTAAAATTTAGATGGATGGATGAATGTTTGACTGAAGTTATGTCCAGAACGACAGCATGGATCTCTTTGAAATTTGACATAGATATAGAACATAGCCTAGAAGAACATATAGGTTACTAATTAAGTTTTTTTTTAATGCCGCGCAGATGAAGTCACGACAAATAGCTATTTAGGTTATAAATCTTGAAACATGTTGCAAAAAATTGTGTTTTTCATATTTCTTTACAAAAAAACAATTTACAAATTACTCAACTGAAAACATATTCCGAAACTTTATGCCCGAACTTCTGTCATAAATTAAGTACAGCAAAAGATTTTTTTAATATTTTCGCTTAAAGTTGTCAAAAGTACAACACATAACTTTTTACGGCCCGATGTTTTTGCATAAATCATGTTTTCATATAAACAAAACGCAGCTTATACCAAAGTATTATTTTTCATCGGCACTTATTTTTTATTTAAAAATACGAATAAGATAATACAGGAAAGTACTACTAATACCTCAGATCTATTCTCATAGTTCAATTAAGTTCCAGGAGATCTTAAAGAAACGAATATACGTACTTCCTTATATAACTACATAGATACAAGATGTATGTATGTAATAGTGTATGAAAGTGAATCACTAAAATTAAAATGGTGTTATAAGTTAACCAGAACTGTTGTAATTTAAAATTCTGAAAGAATGAAGTTGTTATAACAATAAAGTTTCATTCCGGGATTCATTAAAAACACATGAGATAGCAAAGTATACAACAATATACGTTAATTATACGCCATTGTGATTTTGTTTGTCGCATCATAATGAAACAAGTATCATTTAATTACGATTGAAACGTTTGATAACGTTCAAAACTATTTTACTTTGTAATTAAATGCACCATAATTTTCTTTTTTTTCAAGCTGCCTATTTACACTTCACTTTTACCCGACTGATTTAAGTGGGTTATGTTATGTACGTTTTTATGTTAGTACATTTATGTGTATGTCAATATATTGTGACCTTCTTTCTGTAGCTTAACGGACTAAATAGGGGGCCTAGCACGAATGTTTGCGACACCCTCCTTCGTAACGTCATAGACAAAATACATGAAAATGATTATGAGGTTTGTTAGGGACTTTATGGTCGGTAGGGTCGCTACACAAATTTTAATACAAAAGTCGATGACGTTACGAAAAATCACGAATATTCCTGCTAGGCCCTCAGTTTTTGACCATTGTGTCGTTCGATTAGTCAACTATCAGTATTTAATTTAAACAAATGAATATTTATTAATTTATAATACATAGCATCAATTCTTTATCTATTTACTTATAGGGCAATTAACATGATTTATAGTTACATAAAGTAGATTTCTAACAAACTGTACTATTGATAACAACGATTTAAAGTTTACGTCTTTAGGGTTACCAAGATATTAATTATGGCGGAATATTTGACCTTACAATATTATTTATAGTGGCATTATAAGAAATTTATTTAGTAAACTATAGAGAAAAAGTTAATATGGATAGAATTATTTCTTCTATTTCTGTATGAAAGGAAATTTCTAATTTCCTAAGAAGAACATAACCCATGGGGCAGTTAACGCTTGTAGCCCATAGGGGTAGGCAAAAACTGATTAACATTTGGCGCCGACCTGGCGCACCTAAGAACATCGGAAGATAGTCTGAAAAAAGTTTTTTTTTAGATATGATTTTATAAAGTAAATTAAAATAGAAATGAGAGTAATTTTCAATTTTGTTTTGCTGTCAAAATGTAGCAGTTTATCGCAATTTCACTAAGAAGGCATTAAATTGGCAGTAATCAAGCTAATGAGCAAACTTCGCATCCACCAAGAATACGCAATTGGGCAATTCAGCTGCTCCCGGTATATTTTCTTTACTAAATATAAATCGTTATTATGAAATTTGAAATAATATTATAATATTTTTAACATTGTAATCCTTTTTAACTAAAAATAATTTCTTATATAGTCTTGGTGTATTTTAAACAGTATTTTCAAGTTTGTTTTATGAATCGATATGCCAAGCTTTTATAATATTCCATCTCTAAGAATTGGTTTTTGGTAAACTCATTTCATGAAACTGGCTTTAAGAAATCAATTTTCAATATATTGAAGCGACGAGTATTAGCTCAGTCTTTCAAGAATGTAAACAAAATTATTCCTTTATTAAAAATAACATCAGCATTTTCTATTGGCTGTTATATTTACCAATCAACGTGTACGTGAGATCGATATTTATTCTTCTCGTATGAGAAGGTATTTCGAAATATTATCTACGGATTATAAAGACGCCTTGGACGGTGAAGTGACTAGAGTCTGTTTACTTTACTGCAGTTAGATTTATAACATGGTTTATAATAAAATTATAAATACTTTTGGGACGTTAGTGCAAACTTTTTTTCGCTGATATGTTTTACGATAGTAAAATGTTACAGTGTGTGTACTTTTGTCATGTAATTTTATGCGGTGTGCCGTGGCTGAAGACGTGGTAAGGTAAGTAGACTTTTTCTCTAGTAGGATATGGTTTACGACGGTAATCGACTGGCGAGATTTGAATTCTCGAACATTTGATCGGTTTTCCGTTTCCTTAAGAATTAGGCATTTGCTTAAACTCATACAAATCCACTTTTTGTTTACCTTTTGTCATAGACTAGCTGTTATCGGTGACTCCGTCTGCGCAGAGTTAAAAAAACGTAAATTCTAACCTATGTGTTCTTCCAGACTATGTTCTATATGTATGCCAAATTTTAAAGAGCTCCGTTCAGCCGTATTGAAGATACCTTCAAGCAAACATCCATCCATCCATCCATCTAAACATTCACATTTATAATATTAGTAAGAAGTACATAAGATTTGGTGTACACGATTTTAAAATTGACGACTAGATCCTGTAAAACCTTCAGTGGGATAAAAAGGTAAGTCTTTGGTACATTTTTTAATATAAAATATATGTTATATGGTACGACAGAGGGACATTAAAATTAGCAATAGAAAAATGTACACTGAATTTATCTAAATAAATTTTATTTTAAGAAACTTCACTACCAGAATTTTGATACATTCATCAAATTCTGCGCGACGCTTCACGTAATATACTGCGGAATAACTTGTAGGCAACAGATATGAGATTGGCTCCAAGTTTTACTGCTTTAATTTTACACCGACAGATTTTATACCAACCAATCTGTATATATTTGAAGTTTGTATAATATTTATCAAACGGAATATAATTTAATACGCCTTTCATATCGAAGTGAAAAAAATCGTCATACTTCGATCATTTTCCGAAAAAAATCTTATCTATTTAATATTAAAAACGATATGTTTCAAAACATAAAGATATTATAGATGATATTTTTAATTAAATATTAAAAATATTCTCTCAAAACTTATTCAAAGTAATTGAAAATAAGTGTAACATTAAAATTTGTTTCTACAAAACCGATATATTTTAACTGAATATTTTCTGAGATTTAAAAATTAGCACAGAAAGAGAAGTTAACACAAAAACTTCACATAAAATGTATCTCGCACTCTAGAAATGGAGACCTAAATTTTGTGCGATGTCAGCGCCCGCACCTATTATTTTGATATGTTGGTGCAGTCTTAATTCCTCTTTAAAGTTTCTCGTTTAAAAAGTTTGTCTGTTATGTTACAGACAAACTAATTATATATTTATATATGTAATTAATATTAT